GTGTTATTTGCTCCTTAAGCTAAATCCAATGAGAGTAATATTCACTCATTCCCTCTCACCTTCCCCTGTTTCCCCTCCACTGTAAAAGCCTTTTCTTGTGTGTTTTATGTGAGATAATTTACCCCATTCTATCTCTCCCTTTCTCCTCCCAGTATAATCTTCTCTCACCCCTTAATTTTATTCTCCAGATATCACCCCTTCATCTTCAACTCACCTTGTGCCCTCTATCTATATATACATGTATATATATTTTTTTCCCTCCAACTACCCTAATAGTGACAAAGGTCTCATGAGTTACAAATATCATCTTTCCATGCAGGAATGTAAACAGTCCAATCTTAATAAGTCCCTTATGATTTCTCTTTTCTGTTTACTTCTTCATGCTTCTCTTGAGTCTTATATTTGAAAGTCAGATTTTGTATTTAGCTCTGGTCTTTTCATCAAGAATGCTTGAAAGTCCTCTATTTTCACTGAATGTCCATTTTTCCTCCTGAAGGGTTATACTCAGTTTTGCTGGGTAGGTGATTTCTTGGTTGTAATCCTTTGACCTCCGGAATGTCATATTCCAAGCTCTCTGGTCCCTTAATGTAGAAGCTGCTAAATCTTGTGTTATTCTGATTGTGTTTCCACAATACTTAAATTGTTTCTTTCTGGCTCCTTGACCTGGGAACTCTGGACATTGGCTACAGTATTCCTAGGAGTTTTCCTTTGGGGATCTCTTTCAGGAGGTGATTGGTGGATTCTTTCAATTTCTGTTTTGCCTTCTGGTTCTAGAATATCAGGGCAGTTTTCCTTGATAATTTCTTGAAAGATCATGTTTAGGCTTTTTTTTTTTTGATCATGGCTTTCAGATAGTCCAATAATTTTTAAATTATCTCTCCTGGATCTATGTTCCAGGTCAGTTGTTTTTCCAATGAGATATTTCACATTGTTTTCTATTTTTTTCATTCTTTTGGTTTTGTTTTACAATGTCTTGATTTCTCATAAAGTCACTAGCTTCCATTTGTTCCATTCTAATTTTTTTTTTTAGATTTTATGGTCTTTATTTTTTTACATATGAAAACAAATTTTTTTTTAACATTTGTTTTTAAACTTTGGGTTCCAAATTTTCTCCCTTCTTCCCTCCCCGCCCACCCTCATTGAGAAGGCAAGCAACTTGATACAGGTTATCCATGTGTAGTCATGCAAAACACTTCCATAGTACTCATGTTGTGAAAAACTAATTATATTTCCCTTAATCCTATCCCCCCATTCTATTCTCTCCTTTGACCCTGTGTCTCCTTAGAAGTGTTTGCTTCTGATTACCCCCTCCCCTAATCTGCCCTCCCTTCTATCATTTCCCCTGCTCTCTTGTCGTCTCCCCCCCCCCCATTTTCCTATGTGGTAAGGTAGATTTCCATGCCCAATTGAGTGTGTACATCATTCCCTCCTTAAGCCAAATCCTATGACAATAAGATCTACTTATTCCCTCTCACCTTTGCCCGTTTCCCCTCCACTGTAAAAGCCTTTTTTTGTCTGTTTTATGTGAGATAATTTACCCCATTCTACCTCTCCCTTTCTCCTTCTCCAAGTATAATCTTCTCTCACCCTTACTTTTATTCTCTAGATATCACCCCTTGAGTTCCAACTTACTCTGTGCCCTCTATTTATCTATCTATCTATGTAATTTTTTCCCTCCAACTACCCTAACATTGATAAAGGTCTCATGAGTTACAAATATCATCTTTCCATGCAAGAATGTAAACAGTTCACCCAAAGGGCTACAAAAATGTGCATACCCTTTGACCCAGCAATAGCACTTCTAGGGCTATATCCTAAAGAGATCAAACAAATGAGAAAAGGACCCACATGTACAAAAATATTCATAGCAGCTCTTTTTGTGGTGGCAAAGAATTGGAAATTGAGAGGATGCCCATCAATTGGGGAATGGCTGAGCAAGTTGTGGTATATGAATGTAATGGAATACTATTGTGCTATAAGAAATGATGAACATGCTGACTTCAGAAAAACCTGGAAAGACTTATGTGGTCCGATGCTGAGTGAAGTGAGCAGAACCAAGAGGACTTTGTACACAATAACAGCCATGTTATGCAATGACTAAGAATGTTAAACTGAACCCTTCTCAGCTTTACGAGGATCTAAGACATCTCCAGATACCTCAGGATGGAAAATGCTGTCCACATCCAAAGAAAGAACTATGGAAGTCGAATCGCTATCACTTATTTTTACCTTCTGTTGAGTTTTGTTTCATCTTTCTGATGGTTCCTCCTATTGGTTTTAATTTTTACTTACAACTTCACTAATGTGAAATATGTTTAATGGGTATGTAAATGTAAAGCCTATGTCATTGTGCACCGTCTTGGGAGGGTGGGGGGGGGAAGGGAGAAAAATTTTCAACTCAAAAGCATATGGAAAAAAAAAAAAAAAATGCTTAGCAGAAAGAAAAAAAAAATAAAATTATAATTAATGAAAAAAAAAGAATGTAAACAGTTCAACCTTAATAAGTTCCTCATGATTTCTTTTTCCTGTTTACCTTTTCATGTTTCTCTTGAGTCTCACATTTGAAAGTCAGATTTTTTTTATTCAGCTCTGGTCTTTTCATCAAAAATGCTTGAAAGTCCTCTATTTCACTGAATGTCAATTTTTTTCCTCTGAAGGATTATAGTCAGTTTTGCTGGGTAGGCGATTCTGGGTTGTAATCCTATCTCCCCTTTGCCCCCTGAAATATTATATTCCAAGCCCTGCCATCCCTTAATGTAGAAGCTGTTAAATTTTGTGTTATCCTGATTGTATTTCCACAGTACTTGAATTATTTCTTTCTGGCTGCTTGCAATATTTTCTCCTTGATCTGGGAACTCTGGAATTTGGCTACAATATTCTAGTTTTCTTTGGGGATCTTTTCAGGAGGTGATCGGTGGATCTTTCAATTTCTATTTTGCCTTCTGGTTCTAAAATATCAGGGCAGTTTTCCTTGATAATTTCTTGAAAGATGATGTCTGTCTAGGCTCTTTTTTTGATCATGGCTTTCAGATAATCCAGTAATTTTCCAGGTCGGTTGTTTTTTCAGTGAGATATTTCACATTGTTTTCTATTTTTTCATTCTTTTGGTTTTGTTTTACAATGTCTTGATTTTCATAAAGTCATTAGCTTCCATTTGCTCCTTTCTAATTTTTAAGGAAGTATTTTCTTTAGTAAGCTTTTGGATTTCCTTTTTCATTTGGCCAGTTTTGCTTTTTAGGGCATTCTTCTCCTCATTGGCTTTTTGGACCTCTTTTGCCATTTGGGTTAGGCTATTTTCTTCAGTATTTTTTTGGATCTCCTTTAGCAAGCTGTTGACTTGTTTTTCATGATTTTTTTGCATCACTCTCATTTCTCTTCCCAGTTTTTCCTCTGCTTCTCTTACTTGCTTCTCAGAATCCTTTTTGAGCTCTTCCATGGCCTGGAACTGGTTATGTATTTTTCTTGGAGGCTTTGGATGTAGGAGCTTTGACTTTGTGGTCTTCTTCTGGTTGTATGTTTTAATCTTCTTGTCACCAAAGAAAGATTCTGTGATCTAACTTTTTTTGCGCAGTTTGCTCATGATCCCAGCCAATTACTTGAGTTTTGAACTCTTTGTTAAGGTAGGGGTCTGCTTCCAGTGTGGAGAATGTCCTGTCCCAAGCTTTACGGGTTTTGTGCAGCTGTTTTCAGAGATACTTCTAGGGACCTGTAAATTTTCAGTTCTTCCAAAGTGGTATGATCAAGGGCAAGGTGTTTACTCCTTTCCTGGCCTGTGCTCTGGTCTGTGAGTGACCACAGGTGCTCTTTTCTGCCTTGGAACTGTGAGGAGGATTTACCTTCCACTGCCAACTACAAGCTCCAACATGCCAGTACTCCTCCTTGCCCCAGGACTGCGACCCAGATCCAAGCTCGAGCAAAGAGAATCCTGCACCAGCAGAGAGATCCCTGCAATCCCCCTCTGAACCGCCACTTGATCCTCTTCTGTCTGTGGGCTGAGAGCTCCAGAAGAGGCTGCAGAGGCTGTGCTGGACTGGGATGAGGACTGAGCTTCTCTCTTACTATGGTCACAGACTTTTCCTGTCTTTGTGGGTTGATAAGTCTGGAAACAGCTACAGCTGCCTGTGATTCAGTCGTCTGAGGCCTGCTTCAGGTTTGCTGAGGCCTGGTCTTTGCATGCATGTCTGGTGCAATAGACCTTTCCAGTCAACCGTCCAGGTTGTCTTAGGCTGGAAATTTGTTTCACTCTGTCTTTTTGTGGGTTCTGCTGCTCTAGAATTTATTTAGAGCTGTTTTTTTTACAGGTATTTGGAGGGGTTTGGGAGAGAGCTCAAGCAAATCACTGCTTTTACTCCACCATCTTGGCTCCACCCCAGTTGCTGCCTTCCTTTTAAGCAACTGCTTATGATGGTTGAGGGAAAAAAAAAGCAGCTAGTAAGAGATGATCAGATTCTAAAAGTTATTTAAAAAAAATCTATAGTCAATCATATCTATTTTTGTTATCTTAGTAAATTTTTCCTAATTATAATCACTAATCAGTCACTAATCCTGTTATATACTCTTGTAATCAGTGTGCAAGTATAGGTTGGGGCAAATTTATTTCACAAATTTAAGGGATGGGTTCTCCCTTCCTCCCTCCCTCCCTCCCTCCTTTTTCTGCTATTTCATGTCCTTAGCCAATAAGATTTTGAAGAAACTACTAGCATAATACTTTTTTGCTCTTTTTTTTTTCCCTTTTGTGAGGCAATTGGGGTTAAGTGACTTGCCCAGAGTCACACAGCTAGTAAGTGTTATGTGTCTGAGGCTGGATTTGAACTCAGGTACTCCTGACTTCAGGGCCAGCACTCTATCCACTGTGCCAGCTAGCTGCCCCCATGATACTTTTTTGAAAACATGCTTCATTTAGTGTATTTTCCTGATTGGTGAATATGTATGTGCCTTAATTTACCAATGCTGAGTCAGTATTTTAATTTTTAAAAGATAATTTCTTTCTTTGATTACAGTGCTCATATATCTCCCATCAACATCTTGCCAGCCTCTGCAGAGTAAGTAGCATACTTATGTTGTTAGAATGCAAATTCTTTATTTCAGTATTTTATCCTTAGAAGTTGAAGGTAGTGCATTAAGTGGCTTGATTATTGTCTTTATATGAAAGTATTATAAAAACTTTATAGCACTTAAGTAATTAGTGATCATTTTGTGACATAATGCCAGATAATTAAAAAAACTGATTATAGAGACACAAACATTTATTTTGGATGCTTTTATATTGCTAATAAGAGATTTTCATCAATTTGTGAAGTATACATTGCTATCTGCAATAGGTTTTCTTTTCAACTATTTAATATATTTTTTCTGTTCATGGTCTCTTCCAGTTGTCCTCTGCCTCATTTCTCCTAAAGCTATTTGTCCTTACTTTGCGCTCCAGTCCTTCTAGCTTCCCTTATTTATTTTCCTAGTCTTCCATTTGCAGTCTTAATCAGTAGTTTGTTTATCTTCCACCCTTGAATCCTTTACCTTCTGGTCCTTTCTTGAGGCATCATGCCATGACAAATCCCAGTTAGTCATCAGGTATTTATTTAGCACCTACCTACTATTGTACCAGGTTGACATTAATAACGAATGGAAGGGTCCCTAGCAATGAGCTCATATTAAATAGGGGAAAGAACAAATGCATAACAAATATAAAGTAAATAAATGCATATACATACGCACTCACAAATTAGTTTAAATACTAAGTACTATGGGATGGAGGGAACTACAAGTTGGAGAGATCAGGAAAAGCTTTATGCAGAAAATAGTATCTGAACTGCCTTATAAATGAAGAAGAATATATTCCAGGTATGGGGGGGTGTCAAGTGAAAAGGCACAGGGGGAAAATATAGAGAGTTTCCAGTGAAAAACAGGTGTTTGGCTGGATTGTAGAATGTGGGAGGGGGAGTAACATCTAGTGAGGCTGGAAAGTTAGGTTGGGGCCACATTGTATAGAGCCTTACAAACTAAATAGAGGAGTTTCTATTTTATCTTAAGAGTCACTAGGAAACCACTGGAGTTAGTTTGGGCACTATGCAGTGTGTAGAATCGACTGGTGCTTTGAGACGCTTGAAGCAGCAGGACCAATTAAGAAGCTGTTAGAACAGTGAGACATAAGAAAGAACTGACCTAAGGTGGTAGCTGTGTGAGTGGAGAGGGCTGGATTCAAGAGATGTGAAGGTAGAAACAGCAAGATTCAGCAGCTGATTGGTTATGTGGAGTGAAGCAGAGTGAGGAGTCACAGATAGCGTGTAGATTATGAGCCCAGAACACTGAAAGGAAAGTGGTGCCTTCAGCGGAAATTTGGAGGAAGAGTAGAAGCACATGTGGGGAGGGAGACAAGTAGTGAGTTGAGTTTTAGACATGCTTACTTTTAAGATGATGTCTGTGGGATATGGGTAAATCCTATTGGTTCATTTATAGCTTTCGCTGAATTTCCTGAATGAGTAAGGAATGAATTATCAGAATGACGATCACAGTAGTATTGGTATTTTTATCTGGTATTTTAACTTATCTGGTATCATTAACTTACATGATAATAATAGTTGGCATGTAGTACTTTTAGGTTTGCAAAGCACTTTATACACATTATCCTATTTTAGTTTTACAAAAACCTTGAGAAATAAGTGCTGCAGGTATTTTCGTTGCCATTTAACAGATGAGGAAACTGGCCAATACTCACACAGGTGGTTAAGTGTCTGAGGTGAAATTTTTGCCTTGGGTCTTTGAGATTCCCTATTCTATTATTTCCTCTATAACACCATGCTACCTCAATTCAAAGGTAATGGAGCCAAAAATTTTTTCAAATGTTATTATACTGGTTATTCTTCTGTTCTTTCTAGTTTATAATCTTTTCACTTATGTAGTATTGTCTGTTTATAGTTATCTGCATTTGTGTCATATTTTCATGCTTCTCTTTATATTTTCCCTCAGTAATCTCATCACCTGCCATGGGTTCAATTCTTATTTCTATAAAGAAGAATCTTAAATCCAAAATCCAGCTCTCATCTCTCTCCTGAGCTCCAGTCCTATAGCCCTTACTGCTTATTGGACATCATTTAGATGTCCCATAGGTATCTCAATTTTAGCATGTCTGAAATAGAATTTGTTATCTTTCGCTGCTAAATCCATTCCTCCTAATTTGCTTATTTTTGTCAAGGGTGCCATCATTCTTGGCACCATCATTCTTCTTGTCACTGTCAATTCTATCTCTGTGTCCTTTCTCAGTTCCATGCCCTTTATACTGCCCATAGGACTACTATCCTAAATCTCTCTTTTATCATTTCTTTCTTAGATTGTTGCAGCAACCTCCCACCCTAGGAGTCTTCCCACCTAAGTTCTCCCTTCCCTAAGACGTCTTCCTTAGAGCTGTCAAATTGATATTCCTGAAGCACAAGTCTAACCAAATCACTCCTTTACTCAGGAAACTTTACTGTTTCCCTATTGTCTCTAATAATAAAACATAGATTCCTCCATTTGTCATTTAAAACTTTTAACAATGTGGCTCTGATCTATTTTTTTCACATTCATTTCACATTATACTCTCTCCATTCAGATTCGTCTACTTTGTTTTTCTTGTGCACTGCAATCCATCTCTGCTCTCTATACCTTTACAAAGGATATTCCCTATATCTGGGTTGTGTTGCCTCCTCTCTTCTTTTTCTTACAATCTCCAGATTCCTTCAAGACTCAGCTGATTCTTGATTCTCTTTCTGTTTATGCTTTTTTCCGCTTTTCTATTCTCCCAATCTTGAAATTATTTTTTAAACACTTCTGTTTGCTTACCAGAATACATGTTTAACTTGATAGATTATAAACTTTTTGAGGGCAAGGACTTTTCACTTTTGTTTCTGTATCCACAAAGTCTTGCACAGTAACTGTGTATACTTAACATAATACTTGTTGAATGGAATTAAATGAAGGCAGAGATAGTAAGTCATAAACTTGTTATCTTCCCCAGAGGTGTCTAGTGCTGAAATAAATAATCCTATAAAAAGTTTTGAAATTTAAATAATAATTTAAATCTTTACATTTAAAAATAGTTAAAGGATTAGGTATGTTTTAATGTTGTGGAAAATTTTTCTTAAACACATTCTCTCTTTTGTAGCATTTTAGAAAGAACTATTAGAGCAGCTGTGGAACAGCACCTTTTTGATCTGCAGAGCAGCATAGATCATGATCTAAAGAATTTACAGCAGCATGGTGTGGGGCATAATAATGAAGCAAAAAATATAAATTGTGATGGAGAAGAATCTAATAACCAGTAAGAAACTGCTTATATTTTACTAATGCCGGAATGTGAAGTTTATCTTTAATGTGAAATTTGGTTTTTATTTTAAGGTAAACCTTCTGCTTAAATTTGCCAAACTCAACCCATTTTCTTTAAAAGCAAAAGGCCAAATCTTTTTTGCTTTTCTACTGTATTGTCATTGCTATCTCTTGCACAGAAGTCCCATATAGTATTTTACTGTGAAATGACAGTATTTGTCATCTCTGAACAATTCAGAAAATTATATACCAATTGAGAAGACTGAGAAGAATTCACAGAGGCTTAAAGGCCCCTGAGCTCCCTTTTAGGTCTAAATTTATGGTTCTATGATGAAAAAACTTGTCAGAGTGATCCATGAGGAGTAATTTCAAGGGTTAAATATGGATTATACAGTAGAACAACAATTTAAATGTGAGGTTCAGCTGAGAAATACTTGAAAGAGATAAAAAGAGCAATTCAGATTAAGTGTTTGATAACGTAGGTTGAATATGAGAGTACAGATGATATCAAAGAGTTTATTTGTGGAAATTATCTTCCAAAGGATACAATAGAAACATTTCTTAGGACATTTTGTTTTGTTCCGTGGTCATAGTGATTTCTTTATTCTGGTCATTCACTGTGCATGTTTATGTGTACAACATGCCTTTCTTGTCGTTGAGCTCATCAATTCATAAAGCAAATCACGTGTACTATTATTAGTGGCATTTTAGCACTGTTATTTTTGTATACAAAAAAGGCTGGCATATTTTCTTGAGATATTTCAAAACCATTTAAATAATAATAATTATAAATGGAATTTATGTCATGCTTTACAGTTTGCAAAGAGCTATATAAATATTATCTCATTTTCTCCTCACAACACCCCTGGGAGGCAGCTGCTATTATTATCCCCATTTTATAGATGAGGAAACAAAGGCAGATGATGATTTATCCAGGGTTACACATTTAGTAAGTAAAAGACAGCATTTGAACTCAGACCTTGGTGACTCTAGGTCCTGTACTCTCTCCACTGTGCCACTTTGCTAAATAAAGTCAAATCTGTAACAAGTAACCATTCTGTATAATTTCATAGAGAAATATAATATAAATTATTACAGTATACTGATAGATATATACTCTTCTCTCAAGGTCAATTACTAATAATTGTTGTTAGGTCTATAATTCCGTATTGTCAAGCATGGATGTGAAATCACAGTAATTTTGACCCTTAGTTATTGCTTACTTGAGAGAAAGTAACTTCTAAATAATCTTCAGAATATTTCCAAGTAGTTTAGCAAGCTGTGTGCTTTCTCAGCCTAAGTAGAGAAGGTTATGTTAAGAAGCAGATATCTAATTAGAAAATAGGTGTGTGTATATGCACACACACATATATACAAATACACATATATACACATAAATATTCATATATGTATATACATTCACATACATATGCATGTGGGCAGTTTTTTTGTTTGTTTTTTTGGCATCTTTTCTTTCTTTTTTTCTTTCTTTTCTTTTCTTTTTTGGGCTGGGCAGCGGGGTTAAGTGACTTGTTATGTGTCCGAGGCTGCATTTGAACTTAGGTCCTCCTGAGTCCAGGGCCAGTGCTCTATCCATTGCGCCACCTAGCTGCCCCTGGCATTTATTTTCCATGAAGCCTAATAGTTTTTTATCATCTTTGTTACTAGGGATGCTATTGCTGGTGATAATAATGCTAGTGAGAGTAACAGAGACTGCTCTGAAACATTGGCTAGCAGAAATTTGGAAAATGAAGCAATTCAGCCTGATTTTGCTTTTGAGAATGAAGAAAACGACCAGGTAAGACCCAAAGAACAAGTAAGCTGTTCTGATTTTCCATGTTATATGCTGTTTCACATTCATCATTTTCTTATATTTTTCCTTTGCAAATTATTATAGTTTAGTATCTTCACTAACAGATTGGTGTTGCTTAGAAATTATAGCTCTTTCATAGTTTGTTTTTATCGTATAAATTGTTCTCCTTTTTCTGCTCATTTCCTTCTTCATCAATTTATAAAAGTCCTCAAAAATGTTCATTTTTGTAATATTTATGTTATAGTATAAATTGTTCTTTTGGTTGTGCCCACCTCACTTTGTATCAGTTTATTTAAGTTTTTCCGTAAGTTTTTTAAATCATCTCTTTCCTCATTTCTTATAATACAATAGAACTTCATCACATCATATTCATATACCACAACTTATTCAGCTGTTCCTCATTTGGGTTTTTTTGAATAACATTTTATTTTCCTCAATTACATATAAAGAACAGTTTTAAACATTTAACATTTCATTTTTTAAAATTCAGTTGTCTCCCTCCCTCCTCTCTACCTTTCCTGAGACAGTAGGCAATTTGTTAAACATTTCAGTGAGCATTTATACCTTGGAAATTAGCAAATAATACAAATTAGGGCTTGGTTTATTATTTTGCTGTTTGTCTAGACTTAAGAAAAAGATGGAGAAAGTGTTAATAGTGCAGATTAAACTTAAGGGTGTCATGGTATATTTTTCTCTCCTAGAACATTTGTTGGCACACCACTGGTTGTACTCATTCATAGGTATACTTTTCATTGTGCCTGTTTTCCCATAATCTCTCCATTATTTATTATTTTTTTGGTCATCTTTGCCATTCTGATGGGAATGAAATGAAATCTCCTAATTCCTTTAATTTTTATTTCCATAATTAGTAATGATATGAAACATTTTTTCATATGGGTAAAGATAGCCTGGATCTCTTCCCTTGAGAACTGTCTGTTCATATCTTTAGGCCATTTGTCCATTGAATGACTCTTTTTCTTATAAATTTGAATAAATTCCTTATATATATTGGAAAAGAGTCCTTTATCAGAGAAACTTAGTGCTAAGTTTTTTTCTCACCAATTGCTTGTTTCCCTTTTATAACATTAGCTTTATTAGATTTCTTCATGCAGAAACTTTTTATGTATTCAAAATTATCCATTTTACCTTCTGATACTCTCTGTCTCTTGTTTGGTCACCAACTTTTCTCCTGACCATAAATTTTATGAGTAATTTTCGCCAGATTTTTCTAATTTGTTTCTGACCTTTTATCTCTTAAGTTATATACTCATTAGGAACTTAACTTTGTATGAAGTGTGAGGTGTTGGTCTAAGTCTAATTTCTTCTATACTTCTGTCCAGTTTTCGCTGTAGTTTTTGTCAGATACTGAATCCTTATCCTAGTAGCTGGGGTCTTTATGCTTATTAAAGACCAGGGTATTAGATATATTTGCTCCTGTATATTATGTACCTAATTCCATTGATTAATCTTTTTTAACCAGTATAACATTATTTTAAAATAACTGTTTTGTAGGATAGTTTGAGTTCTGACTCTTTTAGGACCCTTTTGTTTCTATTTCTTTTCATTATTTTCTCTTGAGATTCTTGACCTTTTTTTCCCTCCATATGAATTTTGTTATTACTTTTCTAGTTCTATAAAGTAATACTTTGGTAGTTTGATTCGTATGTATGACACTAAATAAATAAATTTTTATAGTTTGTCATTTTTATTATATTGGTTCATTCTATCCATGGGCAGTTAACATTTTTTCCAGTTATTTAGGCCTGTTTTTATTTCTGTAAACAGTGGTTTGTAGTTGTATTTTTATAGACTGGTGTGTGTTTTGGAAGGTAGATTCCTAAGTATTTTATATATTCTGTAGTTATTTTAAATGATGTTTAAAATTTATCATTTTTTAATCTCTTCCTAATGGGTTTTATTTTGGTATTATATAGAAATGCTGCTGATTTATATGGATTAATTTTATATCCTTCAATTTGCTGAAGTTATTGTTTCAGTTAATTTTTTTAGTTGACTTTTCAGGTTTCTGTAAGTATACCATCAAATCATTTGCAAAAAATGATAATTTTGTTTCTTCTTTACCTAGTTATTTTCTCAATTTCTTTGTCTTGTCTTAATTATTACAGTGAGCGTTTCTGGTACTGTGTCAAATAGAAATGGTGACAATAGACATCTTTGTTTTGCCCTTGAATTTATTGGAAAGAATTCTAGTTTATTTCTGTTACATATAAGGATAGCTCTTGGTTTTAGATATATATTATTTATCATTTAAGGAAAAGTCCATTTTCATTCCTTTCTTGATTACGTAGATTTGATGATTTTTTTTTCATTACAGAGGGATGATGGATTTAGGGTGCAGAATCTTATACATATATATGTACTGGACTGAGAGAGAGAGGGAGAATACAGCCATTGAGGGGATTTGTTTTGCTTTACAACACATAGTTGTTACAAGAAATTGTGTTGGGTTTTTTTTCCCCAATGGGAGTTGGAGGAAGAGAAAATAGAATTATTACATTAAAAAAAAGTGCTACAGATATGGAATGTTGAATGTACTTTAAGATGAGATCACTGCATTAGGAGTATTACTTAACTGTTTTACTTTGTTGCAAGAGATCTCACAGAATGTGAATAATCTGTAAATATTTGTAATGCAAAAAAATACATTCAGTAAAACCTTTTAAAAATTAAAGCACTTAATCAGATTTTCTAAATAGATGTCAAAGAAAACTATTACCAATAAATTTAAATGGATAAGTAGCCATAAAAATATTATTTTGAAAGTCTTTAGAAGAAGTTCATTGGCTCAGATTCTAATAATCTAGCCATGGGCTCAGATTCTTAAAATCTAGCCAATAGCTCACTAACCGAAAATTCAGACTCCTTAAGAGTCTGCCCAATATGATGGATGTTCTAATAAGTCTTGTCTTTGGCTGGAAAAAAAAAAGTTGTTCATCTAAATGAGATTACTGAAAACATTTCTAATCCATTTGCTGTTGGGTTTGAAGTGCAGTTTTGCTCACAGGTTTTATATTTTAGGTTTCTAATATTCAATTAAGGGATTTTTTAGTATGTTATTTAGAGTTCTTAATCATAAGCTAGATTAAAATAAAAAGTGTATATCTAATGCAGAAATGTTTGGAGCATTTGGAAATATTTCATTGATTATTGTTTTCTTGTAATAGTGTACTATTTCTTAACATTTCTTGTAATAATGTAGCATATTGCATAAGGCAGGCACTTATAGTTGTCCTGAAAGAAAATGGTTAAAAGGATACGTACTGATAGGTAGATAAAGTTGGTACATAAGAAATATCCTTTTCTGCAGGCAGAAAACAAAGGTTCGAGGTGAAGTGGAAAGACTCTGGGTAGAGAGAGGGGTAGTCCCAGCCATGTGATCTGTGTAATTTCATTTGATACCGGTGATATCCTTTCCTTCCATTTCTATAAAAAGATGTCCAGATAAACAACTGAGAAGGCTGACTACAGCATACCGAAGAACTACGTCTTGGCCCTTAAAATAACTTTGTAATCGAGTCTCTCAGTCTGTTAAAAGAACTTGCTCCATCCCTCTGCCCCTCCCCTAACTGTGAGGCCAGCTCTATTATACCATATTGCTTCTCAGACTTAAATTTTTATTTGTGTATCTTTTGATCAAGTTTTGATATGAATTATAATGATGTTTATGCTTTGTCCTCAGTATTTAGGCTGTTGTGATCTTTGGATATATAATTATATTGAATGTCCAGCATTTCAAAAAGTTACGCTTACTTGAAAGTAACTGAACATCATCTTGCCCATTTTATTGTTGAGGGGAATGGAGGCTCAGAGGTTGACTCTTTTTTAGTATTTGAAAAATAAGATTGCTCTTGTTCACATGGTTCTTAGCAGAGGAATTATTTTTGATGTTTCCAAAATGCTAAAAAATTATTACTGTGATGTTTCTTTTCCCTTTAATTGAAATTTCACTGGAGAAATTTTTGGTGGGAATTCTTAGTACATGCTTTGTTATTGTTGTTCAGTTATTCAGTCATATCTAACTTTTTCTGACCCCGTGGACCATAGTATGCTAAGCCCTTCTATCCTCCACTATCTCACACTTAATGGGATGGAATAATAGGTACTCTGAATAAATTGAGATAGCTGAGAGAAGATTCTACCTGAATGAAGCCAAATTTTTGAAATGAGTTTGTTTTATATATAAAAACACTAGCATATTTCAGAATGACAGGTTATCCAGATAGGGTAGCATATTTTTTTATCTATTCTTGATGAAGATAGTTAAAGAGTTCTGGATTTTTTTACGGCAATTATTTTGGTTTACATTTTTTAGCTTAAGTGCTGAGTTTTTACTTTGTTACTTAGAGGAATCAGGGTTAAAATTATGTTGCAAATAACAGTTTTGAACAGCAGTGGTCTGAAAGTAGTTTGGAATATGAGAAAATCAAAACTGTTCTTATATTTCCTCTAATGCTAGTAGTCTAAACAGTCCTTTATTTTTCTTCAGACCTTTTTGAATCATATGTAAAGGGTGTTTTCTCCTGGAAGTGCTTATGAAAATACATATTATTTTGTAGGTTTTAAAGGCTTGGCCTTGCAAATATGTGGTATGTGTGTACATATTGTGTATATATACATGTGTACACACATACATATATGTGCACGTATGTGTTATCAAGATGACTTTGGTAATTATAATCAAGTAATACAAGTCTGTCTGCACTACCTTGGAGGTAAAGAACAGTGGTTAGTCTTTAAAGAATATATTGCTGTCGCTTAATTTTCAAAACCCGTAATAATAGTACCTGGGGTTATTGATAAACTTATTGGTAATCAATCCCATGTTGAAGTCCACCATTGTACCAAGTTTTCGTTTTTTCATTTTCCCCCTTAATCTTTACTTTAAAATTTAATTAATTTTTTGTTACATTTTAAGTTCCAAACTGTTTCCTTCTGGCCTTCCCCACCTCACGCTGAAAAAGGCTACTGTTTGATGCTTTTTTATAAGTATATGTAAAACCATACTATGTGTACTTCTATTCATCAATTCTTTCTCTGGAGGTGGACAGAATTTTCTTTCATAGGTCCTTGGAAGTTGATTTGAACATTCATATAACTCAGAATAGCTTAGTCATTCACATTAACTCTTTGAACAATATTGCTGCTACTGTATATGATGTTTTCTTGATTCTGCTTACTTTATTCTACATTATTTCATGCAAGTCGTTCTGTGTTTTTCTAAAACAAAAACAAAAACAAAAACCAAGCTCATCATTACTTAGAGCACAGTAGTATTCCATCACAATCATATACCACAACTTGTTTGGCCATTCCCTAATTGATTGAGGTCCCCTCAATTCTAGTTCTTTGCCATTACAAAGATTGTTGCTGTAAGTATTTTAGAACATGTAGTTTCTTTTCCTTTTTCCATGTTCACCTTGGGAGACAGACCTAATAGTGGTATTACTGAATTAAAGGATATATAGAATTTTATATCTTTTGGGGCATAATTCCAGATTACTCTTTAAAATAGTTGAATTAGCTCACTGTTCCACCAACAGTGAATTAATGTCCTAATTTTTCCATGTTCCCCTCCAATATTTGCCATTTCTCCTTCTATCATTTTAGTCAATCTGTTAGGTATGAGATGATATCTCAAAGTTATTTTAACTTGCATTTCTTTAATCAGTTATGATATAGATCTTTTTTCCATATGACTACATATAGTTCTGATTTCTTCATTGAAAAACTGTCTATTCATATCCTTTGACCAATTATCAATTGGGAAATTACTCATATTCTTATAAATTTGACAGAGTTTTTCAGATATGAGACTTTTATTTGAGAAACTCTATTAATTTCCCCCTTTAGTCTTGGCCATGTTGCTTTTATTTGTACAAAACCTTTTAAATTTAGTGTAATCAAAATTATCCATTTCACATCTTATAGTGCTCTTTATCTCTTGTTTATTTATAAACTCTTCTCCTGTTCTAAGTCTGATTTGTAATGTATTCCATGTTCTTCCAGTTTTCTTATGATATCCTCCTTTATATCTATCCATGTATCTATTTTAGTAAATAGTGTAAGATATTGATCTGTACCCATTTTCTGCCAGAGTGCTTTCCAATTTTCCCAGCAATTTATACCAAATAATGTATTCTTATCCCAAAGAAGATAGTCCTTTTCTGGGGGTCTCTCAAGGCTGTAAGCAGCTGATAGCTGAGTGGAGAGACTTCATTTGGATATCCTCCTTATCCTTCCCCCCCCATTTATTTATTTATTTGTTTGTTTGTTTGTTTGCTTATTTATTTATCTGTTTATCTATCTGTCTGTCTATCTGTCTATCTATCTGTCTATCTATCTATCTATCTATCTATCTATCTATTTTGCCTTTTTGGTGAGGCAGTCAGAGTTATGTGACTTGCCCAGGGTCACACAGCTAATAAGTATCTGAGACTGCATTTGAACTCATATCCTCTGACTCTAGGGCCAGTGCTCTATCCACTGCATCACCTAGCTGCTCCCCCCCTTTAAAAATAGATATTCCTGTGTGCCATTGAGAGTAGAGTTAGCCAATTTTTTCAAGGGAGAAAGATTATAATGTGAAGCTTTAAGAATCTCTGTGACTATGTTGGTCTGTTTTATAATTATGCCTTGAAATACAGTTTGTTAGTGTCACCTTATTACATGTGCTGTAGATTATTTGACCCCTGATCTGGTAATGCTAGTTTGTAGTGATAACTTAACAAATTTGTCCAATATTTCTTTGATACCTTCTTCTTGTCATATCTTTTTCTAACCATGGACCATATTAACCTGTGTTGTCCTAACCAATACATATGCATCATAACCAAATCCCAATATAGAGAACTCTTGTTAAAAATTCAGCTTTAACAGGCTTTGGGACAACCACCTGCATTGTTTTGATAAAATTAACTGATTCAGTAATTAGGTGAAATTAGAGTATGCCTGTAATCATTTAGGAAGGGGATTTGGGAACCTTTTTAGGATGACCATATTTTCATGTGCTCATTTAATAGCATTATCTTAATGTCATTTATCAATCAACCATTAAGCTTTTATACTATTATATACTAGGCCCTGAGGACATGTACAAAAGTAGGACAGCCTCTGTCTTTGAGAAGTATATATTCTACTGGGGAGAAATAGCATGTTCACAGATTTAGGGCAAGTACTGTTTTCACTTTTTCTTTGTGTCCCCCACACATAGCTTAGTAACTAACACAAATGATTTGTTGATTAAGGAGAGATAGGATATGTACAAAACAAATATATAGTGATTGGGAGGTGAGGGGAGATCAGTAACCATGGGGTGAATCAAGAAAGTATTCTTGAAGGTACTTGAGCTGTGTCTTTAAAGGATCCAACAGTTCCAAGAAATAGAGGAGAGGAAGGAGAGTGTTCCTGATAATAGGTGGCAATCTGTGCAAAGGTGTAGAGGTTGGAGATGAATCATGATGTACAGGGGAAAAAAGTAGGTTGGTCTAGTTGGAGCACAAATGGATGAGAATGTGTAATCAGTCTGTAAAAATAGGTTGGACCAGATTGTGAATGATCCCATTCATCCTCTAGCTTATTAATTTGGAATATGTGATCATTTAGATATACCCAAGATGAAAATATGACTCTGTGCAAGTCAATTCCCCTCTCTTGGCATTAGTTGTTTTATTTGTAAAGTGAGAGGACTGTGCTAACGTTTTCTAGGATTCTGATTCTGCTATATTCTCTCTGTGTACATTATGTGGCAAAGGTATGCTGATGAGATTAAGAAATTTAGTAGCTTACATTTGTATTGCTGAGTTTTACAATTTATTTTTCTCTCAGAACCCTGTGATGTAGGTAGTATGGGCATCATCCCATCCATTTTGTAATGAGCAAAACTGAATCACAAGAGGTCAAATGACTTGTTTATAGTTAAAATCAAGAAATAATAGGAGTCAGTAGACCTGGGTTTAAGTCTACATTCTTTAGTCTGATGCCATTTCAGCAGACATTTAATACACCTTTATTTTATATTAAACTTTGTGCTAGGTCTTGATACAAAGATAAATTAGGCTTCATCCCTGGTCATAGGAACTATCAATCTAATAGAGAAGACATAAGTAACTAACACAAGGAAGAATGCCTTAAGTATATAGGAAAGGCTTAAAGAAATTTTCTCAGTAAATCATTACTTGTAATGTAAATGTGAACTTGTAAATGTAAACAACGTAAACTTGTCAGTTCTATCATTTGTCTTCTGGTAATAGTACCCAGAGTACTGCACCCTGAGCTGCGCTGAGAGATGCAACAGACTGAGACTATCTTGCCATTTTAAGTCTGACTTTGTATTCATTTGAGATTATTTCTTTAGGTTAAAAATATCACAAGGGATTTGATAATTCAACTCTACTCTGCCTTAGTCTGACCACATCTGGAATATTGTATTCTGTTCTGAATATCTCATTTTTGGAAGAATATGGATAGGTTGGAAAGTGTCCAGGTCTAGCATGGGCTTTGAGATCTTGTCTATGAAGATTACTTGAAGTAAGCAGGAATATTTAGCCTGAAGAAGAGAAGACTGTTGAGGGTGCTGGGGGTGAGGATGAGAGTTGTCTTAAAGCTTTTTTTTGGGGGGGGTGCAGATTTGCATTGTTCTTCTTGGTCCTAGAGGGCAGAACTGGGAGCAGTGGGTAGAAATTGGAGTCAGACTTGGGCTCAGTGTAAGGAAGAATTCTTAAAAATTAGAGCTACCCAAAGATGAAATGTACCTGGAAAGGTATATTGAGTTCTTCTTCATTGGTAAAACTTTGATAACTACTTACTGGGGTTGTTGTTAGAGACTCCTGGGACCGGTAGGGGTTGGACTAGATGGTTTTTGGAGGGCCTTCATGATTTAGTGGTTCTGTGAATATGGGATGGAGAGAGAAGTAAGCCTATGATATCCCTCTCCTCCCCCCTCCCTTGGCTGTAAGCATAAAGTAACATCCAAAAGTTGGGCCATTATAGCTCACCAAAATGAATGTAGGCCATTAGGTCATTAAATACCAAGCAGATTTAATAACAGAGGAGAATAGAGCCACACAATTATAAGGAGGTGGCAACATTTTCCAAAAATAACATTAATATGCAAATAACCTATCTTGTACAGGTATATAGACATCTGTATCTAGAATCTTGCATTGTTTTAATCTGTGATTATTATAACCAAAGAGCAAGTGTAAAGCCACTGAGAAAACATGGTGAAATATTACACAATTTAAGTCAAAGAGTAATGTAGTCAGTTTATATTTGTAATGCCCAATCTTAGCTGGTGGTTTCCAAATGAACAGAAGGAAATTTAGTTCAACCTTCTTTTGACAGATGAGGAAATTGAAAATTGACATAAGAGAATTTGTGAAATTATGCTTTAAAATCTCTGGGTACTATTACTGGTATGCTTCCTGGAATCCCATCTACAGATGTGCTAACAGCCAGGGAGAAAAAGCAAAGAGAAGTAATATAGGGAGACTTCCTTTTTGGAGGTAGGCACTATGATTGTGGAAATATAGGAATGCCTTCAGTGGGACTGACTCTCTGTCATGTGTGGAAATGGCTGATGCAAGACCTCCTGACTTTGTTTTGATAACATTCTTGTTTTAAGGGCAAATTGGTATTGTTATTCTTCTCTGTACTAAATGATATCAGGGTCCTATTCACCATTTAGATGATAATGATAAAAGAGTAAAGGAGTTGGACATTTGACTGTCCATTTACCCTACAAGTACTTGAGATTTTAAAATTCTTTGTCAAAGTGTATTCATTCCCGCATTAATTAACTTATATTACCTCCATTGATTAAACATAGTAATGATTATGTTATTGTCATCAGTCTTTAGGTATACTGTTAGAGCCATGTATTGAACATAGTGATGATGAAGATGAAGATGTTCAGAGGTAGGTGTTATTACTTTTCCTTGATTCCTTGATTCATTTAGGGAATTGTAACTCTTCAGTTTTTCGTTTGAAATTTAAATGAATGTGTCTGTATTCACAGATTGTTAGGACGTAATAAGAATCAAACATCTTGTTAATTGTAGTTGCAAAGACTGTTCTTTGCAAGTATACATTTCTACCATGGTATAGTGGTTCAGGTAGGCTTGACAATTCCTCCTTGGAAAGTATTCAGGAAAAACACCAGCACTTGCCCTCATTATTAGGAATAGCTAGAACTTTTGAGTTTTTCTTAGAGCAAGTCAAAACTTCACAATATGCTTTGCTGCTTGTTAGCATCTTGAATGATTTTTTTCAGCTAGTTAATTCTAGGTATCTGAAGTAGGGATAACTAATAGATTGGGGTAACATCTATTTCCACAAATATGTATTGGATGTTTCCATTCCCTTTTGAACTCACCGTTGGTGTGCTCTAATATTTAAACAGGTGTACCTGTGTATCTCCCTGGGTGGCATACAAAGGAAGCAGTTATTTGACTAAATGAGTATTCTAATTAATGATTATGTAGAGTTTTGGTACCTTTTTGGGAATATAGGCTTCCCAGAGTGCTTTTAAATATACCAAGCAGAACTTGTATCTGTTACACATTTAAGGTCATATGACAGTTTCTTGTTACATGCTTTGTTTTACTGTCTGCTTTGAAAAAAAAATACTTTTTTCTTAGGAAATCAAGGATTTATTTAGTGCTTTGGGTTACTTACATTTCTTTGAAAGAGTATATTGCAAATGAAATAGTAGTCAATTTTGTGAAACTTGGGAAATACAGAGCTTCCTTGCCAAATTGATAATAGCCAGTTGCCATGGCCAGAGTTGTTTTAATGCCACTGTCTCACTTCCTCAATGCATCACATAATTGTGAGTAGGGAACCTGTTCTCTGAGAGTAAGTAAATTCTTTGGAGTCATGTCTCTGGAGGATCCCCAAACTCTTAAGGTCCACAGACTCCCTGCTCACAGTAGTTCCTTTTGCTTCCTTTCAGGAGGCAGGAATGATCCCCATTCCAGCCCAGGGAGTGTTGAAGCTATGGGCTGAAGATGTAAGATTAACATCATTAACAGGCATCCCCAGAATGATGACATCTGGATCTGGTAGAGCAATAAGGATCCATTTAGTGAGGACTCAATCTTTTTGGAAAACCTCTTCCCTCTTCAACTTGTGTGTAGGTTAGCAAACTTGTTTCTGGAACCAAAGAGCACGTTGGTTAGGTGAATTAAGACTTGCATGTTTAATACCTACGCTGCTAAGAATTAGGTATCTAGATCGCCTGTGATACTACTTAGCATTATAGTAATACATAAAATGGAGCCCTTAGGGCCTATAAAAATATAGCTTTACTCAGTTCAGTCCGCACACACCCAGCAAGAACCAAAGTGAGAAAATGGGTTACAGGTTTTAGTTTCTTAACCCTAGTTGTGATCATGAACCCTTTCTGGGTAAAGGAATAGCCAGGTGGAAGCAACATAAATGTATAGTGATATGTAAATTGTCAGAGTTTTCCACAGTTCTTGCATTTATGTTTGGAATTTGAATACTACCTGTACTCTTGATTGAGAAAATAGGTAGAGGCCAAATATTAAACCTTTTAACACATTTTCTTACACCACTGCCCTTGTAGGAAGGAAGAAATCTTTTAGTGAAAATTTAAAGTGATATAACTTAATTGGAAAAAAAAATCTGCCTTCATTCTGAATTTTGAGGGAAGAAGAATGTCTTAGAACTATGATTTTGTAACTAGAGCTCCCTTTTCTCCCATGGGTTGTATATTTTTACAAAATACATTCATCCACATCCTCACTTTTTAAGTTGCCATTTACACCCAACAAGTAAGTGTTCTGAGAAGAAAAAAAAAATCCCTCAAACCTACTTGAAACAAGTGACATTTGTGTAGAAAATTTCTTTCCAATGTACCTTGGTTTCCATTTGTTGTGGATTTTCGCTTTCAAAAATAGTTTATTTTGGGGGATTTTTTTTGGAGGGGTGGTAGAGAGGAGTTATTCAGTGTTTGTAGATCTGAAGAGATTCTGTGGATCTTTTTGGGTAGTGTGATGTTCTCCACATATAGGGCTCCAAAGAATGTACATACCTCCAGTTGCCAGTTTCTCTTCTCACATTCTAAATGCTAATTGTATTGGGGAAGAAAGGAATTCAGTTAAGAACTGTCTAATTGATTGTGTAGTCTTTTCTTAAAAAGATTAATTAGTCTGTTTTGTGTTTTTAGGAATGAGTGCATGCCATTTGATGACAGTGGCATATCTTCACAATTGGCTCTGGTAAGAATTTCCTTTTATTATGTGATTTCAAAAAGCATGTATCATTTCTTTAGTTTTCTCGTCCCCATTGCCCCTTGCACTCTACAGTCGTTAGAATGTTTGACATTTTGTATTCACACAGCCATTGCTTTTGATTGAACTTGAATGGAGGATTTAAATTTCATCACTGACAACAAGTATGTTGTAATGACATGGCTGTTTTGGGTTGGTACTTTGGTAGAATCTGGATTAAAGACAAACATTTTCTGGAGCCTAAGAAAGCCCCTTGTATTTAATTTTCTGCCAAGAGGGTATGTAAAACTAAAAATTTTGATGGTAAGTTAGTGAAAATGTGGACAAGTTGGTTGGCTATACATGCATAAATGTGCTGTAATAGACAGTATAGACATGTTCTTGTTACTTAAAACTGGATAGCTTTGTTGTTAAATGTAGTCCTTGTTTTAAATATAGGATTCTAGTAGCAAGATATGTGATTTGAATGCCAACACTGAATCAGAAGTGCCAGGAGGTGAAAGTGGTGGTGGTGTTCATGGAGAAGCAGCATGTTTGCATATCCCCCATTTAGAGCTGAAGAGTGTTTCTGATGGTGATAAATGGGAAGGTAATTTTTATCCATTTCCCCTCTAAGTGAATTGAATTGACATAAAACCAGTATTGTAATTGAATTGACAAAAAGCAGGTAGACGACTACCCTTCACCAAGCCCCAGATTATTTTTTAAATTTTTCGTCAGGTGGGGTTGCCAGGTAGGTTTATATTTCTGTTGTGATATAATGTTTGAGTGTGAAGTTTTCGGGAAACTTTGAGCAGTAAGGGGCCTAGCCAGTCTTATTAGCTGGATGAGAAAGAGTGAGGAAGATGATCTTTTTGATAGGACTTTAAAATCTGTGTTTAGGCCAGGTCCTAGAAAAATTCTCATAGAAATAGTTTTTAGGGACATTTCTAAGGGGAACACAATACAGTGACCCCATAGGCATGGATTTGCATAAAAAAAAGAAAAGAGGTCTATGTTAAATATAAATTTAAAAGGAAAGTTATAGCACTTATGAATATAGAAGCAATCCGTTGTTGCATACCTCTTCACCCAGAAATATCTAATACTTTGTTTGATTCTTAAATCAGGTTTTAAGTGTATCATCCTAAGGAAACAACTAACCTTTTCTGTACCTCTCTGATGACATTGACTAGGGGTGTAGTCTGAAGAATTAGTGTTAACATTATGGATAATAGATGTAGTTTTAGTGAAAATTCTTAACCATCTATGTTTTTATTTTTACATCTAATCTTAATCTTTAAGGCTTTCTCATGTTAATCTCTTTAGCTGTCTTTCTTTATTTGGTTTAGATATTTGACATGCTCAATAGTATATCACTCTTATCTTACCTGGATTGAATTTGAGCCAACTTTGTTTTCCTCTTAAGAAATAACTACTCTGCTAAATAAAAACATTTAGAACTCATATTAACATCTTACAGATGTTACTGATGGTAGTAGAATATTGCAACTCAAATGTATTTACCTCTAAGTGATCCAGCAGACCCTTTGAGTTGAACAGGTGATCTAGATCACTAAGGATCAGTTTTAAGAGAAGACTCTTATTTGTATATATAGAAGGCATCTTTCTTAAATGAGCAGTTGGCTTCTCTGAGATGAGAATAAAGCCAGAATACTGCATACCTGTGTCTTGTGAGAAAATGCTGATGACTAAAGCAGCATCTTGGGATCATTGGTTTCAGGGTAACTAATTAGTATGAAATAGTGATTGTTCTTTATTGCTAGGAGAGTACAGTTAGTTCTTTATGTAAAGGCCTTATGGCCTACCCTAAAGGGAAACAGAAGAAGAGAGTCCCTCTCCCTTCTTTTCTCTTCCAGATTTACACATGTTTTGAAATTAGTGACAGGAGTGTCTCATAGGGCACTTGAATACAGATTCTCTTTGTTCTTTTTAAACCTGTTTGAAAGTACCCCAGAATTGGGGAAATTGCTTCTGATAACTACCACCTGGGTTATGTTGTTCCTTCATTGTGGGGTAAGAAGGGAAAAGAGTACTTGTAGGCTTTGTCATCCTCCAAGGTAGGTTACTAGGTTTCAGGATAGATAAGGAGATCCTTCATGGAGAAACAAGTGACCCATAAAAAATACCTCCCCAGTGATTTCAGATTGTTAATGTAGAGACGTAGCTGTTGACTACATCTGATGTAGCATATTCTCACCAGCTCAAAGTAGACATGCAGTTTGGCATGCTTTTTGCTTCTAAATGTTGCTTTGCTACCCACTCTCTCACTAACAGTCGAATTAGTAGCAACTTTCTTTGATGAGATCAATGTTATGTTAATCCATCAACTACATAACTTACGCTCTCCAGAGACCTGAGATAATAGGAATCTCTTAGGTCATATGGCTAGTTAGCAAAGAAGTGGGTGATTCCTAATGAGTTTTCACCTGTTTCTCCCTTACATAAATATGAGACTGCTCTTTTTTGTAGAGCTGAATGCATTGTCAATGGAATGAAATTTGAGGGAGATTTTTAATATATAGCTAGCCCCAGAATGATCACTTGTAGCTGTTTTAAAAAAAAAAAGGTCTTGGATCTTGAAAAGAAGTATACCCCCTTCTTCTTAAACTCTTATAATCTAAGTCTGGAATGAAATGTAACAGGAACAGATCTATGCAGATGTTATTGTGCAATTCTCAATGTAATACAGTAGGAAGGACTTTAAAAAAAATATATCCAATCAGGTGCTTCCATTTCCTGCAATGTTATGTTTAAATAAAAATAAAATACCTAATTTTTTTTTGCCTTGCTTAAATGGAAATGTATGTTTGTCTGTTTTCAAAGTTTTGGTCAGTACTTATTTTGTTAGGTAAACTTTTTTGAAGAGTAGAATGAGTAACTTGGCCAAGGAAAATGTTTTTTGTATCTTTCGGCTTTGTGTTAGTTATGTGTATGGTTTGTTCTGACTGTGCTGTGTGTTCACTTTAGTATTTTTGCCATTTTTTTTCCATTTTATTAGCGTCATGCCCTATCACTTTCCCCCTCATTGATTTCAAAACAATGCATCTGCAGAGAGATGGGGAGGGTAAGTATGGTTCACCATAGTTTAGTTTTCTGCCTTTTTATGGTTTATGATTTGTTTGCCTTACAATTAGCCCTTCTCCTGCTGCCCCCATTTCCTGAGAATGTCTTTATGGGTAAAAATGTTACCCAGAGAAAATGGCTTTTGTTATTTTCCCCTTTCTTTCCCCAAACAGGAGAGTTCTTATAAATACTTGCTACTGATTTCTTATTCATTGGGAAGCAGGTACAAGGGTGTTTTTTAAAAAAAATCACTTTATTGCTGAGTTTTTGTTGTGTTTTGCACGCTTTGAATTCAAGTCAGTTATCAGATTTATCTTGGTGGCAGAATGAAACTGAGGTATATTCTTGCTCTGAAAAAATATTAACTGTTCTAAAGTACCTAGAGACAAATGTAAAAATAATCTACTAGGCAGTCCTTAGCTGTCACGACGAGGGAAAAAGCACATTTGAATTTTGACACTGTCAAGTAATCTCTGAGAATTAAAGACAATTAAAAAACATTTTTTTAAAAAAATTGATCCGATTAATGCCCATGTTAAACTGTTACTGTTTTATTGGAGAAAAAAAAACACCCTTCATCTATAAATGTCAAACTTCTTTGTTTCAAATGGTATGTGAAGTTGATTTTGTATTTGGAGTGTTTGTGGAGTGCTTGTCTGTGTGCTTTGTTTATTGACTTGTGAATGCAGTTGTTTTGTTAAAGTATGTTAACACATTTTCAGTTCAGTATAGGCTATAAAATAAACATAATAAGATTATTACCACAGGCTTTGACTTAATATTTTTTATTCTTAATTATTGAAATATGTTATGCTTTTGAATTCCATAAAAGATTAATAGACTTTAAATTTAGTGTCTCTCTGTTATCAGATAAATTAGCTGTTTACTGGCTATAAATCAGTCATTTTTGGAGCTTTCCAAACTCCAGCAGGCCCCTGTAAGGGCTCCTGTTGGTAAATGAGTTCTCTAGCATAACATAGAGCCTCTTGTTCTTGAAAGAGCTGTGACATCTTCTAACAGTTCCAGTTGACAGCCAGGAGCCAGTTGACTCATTTGAAAAGATTTGGCTCTTTTCTTCTGGAATGTAAATACAAAGTGTTTTTTCTGAACAATATCATTTTTATTTCTTTTTAACGAGAAAAGTTAAAAGAAAGGTATCCAACTAACCTTTAATATTCAAACAACTTGACAGTGTCTCTCTTCTTGTCTCTTTAATTTGTTTTAAAAAATGTACACGCAAGACACACACAAAGGAATTCCATTATGTAAAACTCAAATTCATGTGGAGACTATTGAAAAATTATTCTGTAATGGTTTAAAGCTATTATAATAATATATTTCATGGAGAACTTAACATTTAGAAGCATTAATATTTTAAAGATTATTATGTGAAATAGCATATAATATGATTGAATGGGGACCTAGTTTTAATTAAGTGACCTTTACATTTGGTTATAAGCATATAGCTGCTTTTAACACTAGAAACTTTATCTTTTTTGGAAATAAGAAACCCATGGTACCATTTCTGTGTGTTCTGTTTTGCAGAGCCATTTCCTGCTTTTAAGTCTTGGCAGGAGGATTCTGAATCTGGAGAAGCTCAACTTTCCCCACAAGCTGGGAGAATGACTCATCATCCTCTTGAAGAAGATTGTCCACCAGTATTGTCACATCGTAGTTTAGATTTTGGACAAAGCCAGCGATTCCTGCATGATCCAGAAACTTTGGATTCTTCATCTAAAGCTCTTTCCTTTGCCAGGTATGCATCTTCCTTTCGTAACGTGTTAGAACTGCTAACTATGAAAAGAAATTTGTACTGAGTGAATGTTTTGTTTAATTGAAAGAATCATTCATTTAAAAAAAAAAAAACCCCAAACCAACAACTTTCTTGAAGTCATCCATGTGGGTTCCTCAGGTTCTGCTGCCCAGCTGCCACTGTACAGAGGCATTAAGCAATGAGACTGTAGGTGGGTGTGATGCTGCTAAGAGTATAAAGCTTCTCTAGGTCGTGTCTATTGTTCTTTTTAGTTGCTTCTCTGTACCTTAACCCCACCACCTTCCTGTCTCCTAAGCCGACTTTCTCTGGTAGATTTTTTCCCCGTGAAATGTTCTTAGGGATTAGTTTCCCTTATTTAGTCAGAACAGTTTGAAGAATAAATTTGAATCAGTTTTAAACAATTTCAAACAAAAGCACAAGTTGTATTAGCTGACTTTACAATCTATAGCACATGAACTTCTTGTATTCTGTGGTTTTAGCAAAACTGATATGGCATTGTAGACCAACTTTGTGGTCTTGGTATCTTTGGGAAGGAGCATCTTTTTATTTTATTTTACTTTTTTATGTTTTTTGGGAAAGAGCATCTTAAAAAATGCTTTCTACGTTCCTCAAAATCTGCATTAGTTCATTCTATCTTTGCTGATAATACTAAGTGGTGTTCCTTTAGTCCTTGTAAATGTATACATTGGGTATCTCTTAATTTTAAAATCAGGACTCGAAGAGCATCCTTTAGTTCAAAAGATGACAGAAGGGAAGATAAAACACCCTATCAGTTGGTCAAGAAACTACAGAAGAAAATCAGACAATTTGAAGAGCAGTTTGAAAAAGAAAAAAATAGTAAGGTAAGTTAGTCGCTTTTACCAAATATACAAATAGAATAATAGATTGCTAGAGCTAAAACTTTCGACGTCACAAACCTCTTAGATTGGGGGTAGGGCTGCTTCCATATTGGGGAGAGTACTGGATTTAGGAAGGGTTCTAATCCCACTGACTAATCAGACACTAGCTGGGTGAACTTGTGTAAGTCACCAACCTCTCCCTGTCTGACTTTCTTAATCTGTAAAATAGAATGATGGCCTCTATCTGTCATAGAGAATGGTTTTGAAACCCAAATGGTTCTTGTAAAGTGCTCTGCAAACCTTAAAGCACTATCTGAAATATCAGCTTTCGTTATCCATTAGAGGGAGGAACCTCTGAGACTCAGGGAAATGAAGTGCCTTGCCTAAGGTAATACAGTCATTTAGTGGTGGAACTTAGACTAGGACTCAGTTCATTGCTATTTCAGCAACTGAAATTACTCCAGCTTTAGCTGAAATCTCTCTCAGTCTCTTTCGGTTCTCACTGCTCCCCTGTGTAGATCATCATCATCCACCCAGATTGTGTCGTAATAGTCTCATCAGAGATGTGTTTTTTCTCCCTCTGCTAGAACGTCCTTGAGACTGCTGCCGGACTAGTCTTTTTAATGTATAGATTTGTTGTGTTTTTCCCTACGCTTGGAACATCTCCTTTGCTCTCTTTCTTCACTTACTGAATTTTCTACCTACCTAACTTAAATGCTGATTTCCTTCTCAAGTCCTTCCCTGATTGGCCCATTGGATTATAACCTTTTTCCAAGTACTTTTGGTCCTTGTGTCGCATTACACTCACTGCTTTATTATTGTATGCCAGAGATATTTGTACCTCTTATTTATCTCCCTATGTGATTGGAAACCCTAAGAAAATAGAAATAATAAATACCTAATTTTTTTTCTCTTCCCTAGTACCTATAGTGCCTGGGACACAAGGCACCATTTATTAGACAATAAATAGAAATAGGACTGGACCTATGATTTCATTGTTTATAAGGAGCTCCTGGATGAGGAAACTTTCTCCTATCAATGCAGGTTGTCATCTTCTCTGCAACTTCTCTATTCTTAGAGAATTGCCTAGAGCAGAGGTTTAAAAAACACGGTCTACTTGTCTCATTGGACCTGAACTTATTAGACTTAATTGGGAAATGTAATGGGGAAATATTTAACAAAATAGGGCAGGGATCTTTATGTATGGGTTAGTGGCCACCCATTATGTTTGTGTTTGATACCACTGGCCTTGAGCACTGAGAGAAGTAAAGTTACTTACCCATGATCACCCATTAAATATCACCATTGGGATTTGAACGGAGATCCTCCTGGCTCTCAGGCCAGCTCTTTAGCCAGTATTCCACTGCTGCCTCTCATACAATAAATAATTGAATTGAACCAAGCATTTTTGAGGCAGATGTTTATCATTGACAGTTTGTTTGTGGTATTGTTGTCACCTCATAAAGAGTGTGTGTGTGTGTGTGTGTGTGTGTTATATGTCTGTATCTATCTGAAAGTCTAAGTTAGTCTCTCTCTTTTTTTAAGGCAGTTGGGGTTAAGTGACTTGCCCAGGGTCACACAGCTAGAGTCAAGTGTTTGGTCTGAGGCCAGATTTGAACTCAGCTCCTCCTGACTTCAGGGCCGGTGCTGTATCTGCTGCACCACCTAGCTGCCCCTTCAGTTAGTCTTTTTAAAGGACGCATTTGAAAGTTTTTCCTTTTATTTACAGCCCTCCTACAGTGATATCGCAGCCAATCCCAAAGTTTTAAAGTGGATGACAGAGCTTACTAAACTAAGGAAGCAAATTAAAGGTATATAATGTGCTTTTCTTTCTTTTAAACTGATATCCATTCAAATATAAATATTTGTGTTATACAACATTATCCAAGGAATTGATTGATACTTTGAAATTTGCTCCTTTTTCATCTTGGTAATGGTTATGAAAAAGAAAATTTACTCTTTTTCCAATTCCCATTGCAGAGGTGTAAGAACACTATTTGAGAAGACTTTGACAGTAACAGGGCAATTATGTTTTCTTTCCTAAGCTTCAAGTATTTGGAACTTGTTAAATAGCACATAGCAACTTAAGAATTTGAAGATTTACAGACAGCTATCTTCTCACTAAAGCGTACACATGAAAATTTAATATCTGTCCTGTTTTCTTTGGTTGTATTCTGCGTGATTCAATAAAAATGCCTCCACTAAAGCTTTATTTTAAGTTCACTTCTTTTCATTTTCAGCATTTCCAAAGCAATTCTTGATGTGCGTTTGGTCTGAGTTGCAGAGAATGCAGTTTCAGTTGATTAAATTGACCTTTAAAGAAAAACCAAATGAAAAGCCGACCCATCGTTTGATTTTGCAGACTACTTAATTCTTTTTTTGTAGCAGTCTCCAACTTCTACCTTCCCTTGGCTTCCTTTACAACTGATCACACCTTAACCTTCCGTAGGAATCTTCCTTTCTCCATCCACTGGTGGTCCTTTCCCTCTAAGACTGCCTTTCACTTACACTGCATATATCTCATATGTACATAGTCATTTACATGTTGTCACCTCCATTAGAATGGGAACTTCTGGAGAACAGGAACCTTGATTTTGCCTGTTTTTGTATTCCTAGCACTTAGTACAATGCCTAGCAAAAAGTAAATACTTAATAAATGCTTATTGACTAGTAGTATCTAAGTAAAAATTTCTCGGCAGGAAGTAGGGGAGAAAAGTGAGTTTTTAATTATTTGATAACTACACTAAAAATAGTCTAAGTACAATCTGACCTGTTTACTGGAAAGAACCTTTTTGTTTAGTTTTCCAGAACCACTTCTCAGAACTCTAGGATTTCATCACACATAACGAATGTTAATTCCCTGATTGCAAATCCATTGTCTGGATGCTATCAACAGTTCACTAATTGAACTGACTGGCCTGGTTATTATTTATTGTTGGTATAATATAAACATCTTGAGATGATTGAGATCATGTGCTCATATATGAGTGTTCTTGTGTCATATCAGTTCTCTTTCTTGACTCATTCTGATATAAAAACAATCATTGTTTGTCCTGTTGAATTCTGAATTGTAGATGCAAAGCACAAAAGCTCTGATGGGGAATTTGTACCTCAAACACGTCCCCGCAGTAACACTCTTCCAAAAAGCTTTGGCTCTTCTCTAGAGCATGAGGTTGAAGAGAATGAAGGTGAATCCAGGGTCATACAAAAGGAGAAAAAACCAACCAAGGAGGCAACACTTGAACTTATTCTGAAAAGACTGAAAGAGAAGCGTGTGGAAAGAAGCCTTCCAGAAGACATTAAAGTAATCATGATTTCATGTCTTATACTCAAGCTGAAATGTGATTTTTAACTCAAAATGACATGTAGAATCCTAATAAAAGTCAACCTTGAGTGGTAGTGTTATTCACAGGGCCATAGATTTAGACTGGGAAGGGACCTGAAAAGTCATCTAGACACATTCTTTTCACATGAGAAAACTGAGTCCCAGAGGGATTAAGTGATTTGCCCCATTATACAGTACTAGGGTTGGAATTTGAACCCAGGTCTTCTGACTCTATATTTAGTGTTCTTTCTGTTGCACCACACCCTTCAATCAAGGATGGTCTTTCATTTTTTTCTTCCTCTCCTATTTATACTTTCCCCTGCCAAACATACACGCAAATTTATTCCTTTTAGCTTCCCACACTCTCCTTTATTTTTATCCCCACTGTCCCTCTCCTTCAAAATGCAAACCCAGACCTTTTCTCTCACTGCCTGAGGAAGCCTTCCTAAACTAACCTCACCTAATTCTGCTCAGTCATTCCAGTGGAACCAATTCTCTCCTTGTTTTGCTGTGTCATAGAATGGTAGAGCTGGGAGGTCCACCTTCAGCCCTCTGCATCCAGGAGAGAAAAGTGAGGCTTCAGAGGAGGGAAGTGACTGAAGTGCCTGAAGCACTAGTTAGGCAGAAATGGGGTTAAGGTACAGGCCTCCTGACCTGTAATATTCTGTACCCTGCATAATACTAGCTCTATGAAGATGAATTTGACTGGGGACTGGAATGGGCACTGAATTTTGAGCCACAAGCTCTAGGTCTAATTCCTGCTTTTGACCTTGGGCAAAGTACTTTGCTTTTCTGAAACATTTCTTTTTCAGTAAAATGAAGGGATTAGTCCTTTCCAGTTCTAAGCTAGTTGTTCTTTTTGCTCTCTGTCGTTTTTTAGATCTCACAGAATCTTTTTAGTCTCTGTAGACTTGCTTTTTTCTAAGCTTTTTGAATCTAGGTGATCTTGATCTCTTCATTTGTTTAAGAGAGGTGCCATACCTTGCCTTCTCCCTACCCACTCTGATAAAACCTCCAAAACCCACAAAGTATTAAAAACTTACCCTTTGCTGAGAAGTTCACTGTTAATTATTCATGGACCTTAATTTGTTTTTAGTCCCTTTGCTGATTGCTTCTAAGTCATAGAATCACATTTATAATCTAGCTTTATAACTAGAAAGAAGCTCTGAGAACCTCTGACATAACTGCCTGTCTTCACAGACCGAGAAATTGGAGAGATGACTTGAGGAAGATCTCACATAGTTATTGGTAGTCAGGACTAGAAATCAAGACTCCTGATATATCTGTACCTACACCTTTACCTATATTGTCTATATGCATATGTATATTTGTATACATGTGTGCATATTGTATATGCACTATTCATACAATACGCACGTGCACATATGATAAAATATATTTTATGTATTAATTATAGTGATATATTAGACCTACTAATATGTGTGTAGATATAAATCTTGAAGATAACAAGATTCAAATAGACATAAAAATTTCACATTTGGCATGCAATTTTTATAAGGGCCAGCTAATGCAACTTTAGATAATATAAAAATGTTCTGCCTCTTATTGTTAATTGGTCCTATGAAAACATTTCTGTAGAATATTAGGGGAATAGTTTCAGGGGAAAAGTGTAATAAGTGGTCTAACGGCTATAAATGGTTGTTTATAGTGAGGTTTAGTCAAAATACATTAATGACATTGTGAAAAGTTGTTGGCTGAGGCAGTCTTTTATTTAGAATAGTTTATCAGTGGTGGTTGTAACAATTATTCTCCATAGTTGTTTACCCTTTAAATTAGGAAACGATAATCATCAATTCAGATCCAGGATTCTTAATCTGAGGTCTCTGAATGTTTAAAAAATATTTTGATAACTATTTCAGTATAATTGATTTCTTTTGTAATTTTATATATTTTATATATTTAAAGATGTTATTCTGAGAAGTCCATAGACTTCACCAGACTAGATTATCAAAGGGAACCATGACAAAAAGGGTTACAAACCCCTAGGTTGTATATAGTTTAGATAGATCATTTAGATAGATCGTATATGGCTTAGGCCTTTTGAGCTCCTGTTTAAAGAGAAAGAGCAGGAGAGACCACAGTTCGTCATAAAATAGAACTCCTTTACTGGAAGAGTAAGATTCAAGTAAGCTTTGGAATTCAGTTCCTTAAATATTTTTAAGTATGGGATCTATTCTTATCAACCTGAACTGGGTTGTATATGTAGAGTCATTTCAACCTTAGAAATGAATGAACGTGACAGTATTGTTTCTTTCTTATAGAAAATGACTAAAGATCATTTGGCCGAAGAGAAAACTTCTCTCCAGAAAAGCCTTCTGTACTATGAAAGTCAGCATGGAAGACCGGTAATGTCTTTCTCTTGCTTGATTTTATTGTAAAAAGGTTACCATTACTGTGATAATGGTTTACCTTCTGTTCTGAACTGTTGCCTAGGGCAGTGATGTCAAACTCAAATAGAAACAGGGGCACTAATCTGTATGTAAGGATCCCTATTGATCACATACTGACTTAGTTTTAAAGTGTGATATTATCTATACTTTATTGTATTTGTTTTAACTATTTCCCGATTACATTTTAATCTGGTTCACTGTACTCAGAAGTGTTGTGGGCCGTATGTAGCATGTTTGACACCTCTGACCTAGAGAATTGTTTCCTGCACTTTGAAATGATTTCTATTAATCAGAGATTAAGTTTGCTGAAATAACACCTTAGCCAAATAGTATGAAATAAAACTAGGAGACCATATAACTTTTTTTATCAGATAAAAAAATCAGTATTTTAGCTTTTCCACCAAGCAGAAGGTACTTGAAGTTCATTACGTATGTCCCAAAACTCATTCCTCTATCTGACTTTCCTATTTCTTCCCGGGACACTCTGATCATGTTAGTCAAGTAGGTTCCCAACTAGGAGCTATTGTGTACTTGCTATTCACTCTCAGCACCCATTTCCAGTCAGGTGCTAACCTTGTTGATGCCACTTTTAAAACATAATACAAATCTCCTTTTCTCTACACATGTAGCTGTCATCATGTTTCAGTTTTTCCCTGGTTTATTGAAATAAGTCTTCTAACTGGTCCCCCTGTGTCCAGTCTTTCTTTCTCTAATCTATTCATACAGTTACCAAAGTGATGTTCAGAAAGCACAGGTCTGACTATGTCATTCTCCTGTTCCAAAAGCTGTAGTCTTCTTATTGCTGTTAGGAAAAAAAAGACTAGTTAAAGCCCCTCACAGTCTAGCTCCTACTTCTCCAGGCTTATTACACCCTTTCTTTTAGTCTGTGTTCCAGACAAATTGATCTCCTTGCTACTTTTCAGACACAACAATATTCCATCTTCTTTTTTTGTGCCTTTGTACAAGCTGGTGTCTCCCAAGCCTGCAGTGCACTCCTTCCTTCCTTACTTTAAATGAAGTAGCTTCATTCAAAGCTCAGCTCAAGTGCGACCTCCTACATGATGCCTTTTTTGGTATCTCCCTTCCTTTCCCTTCAAGCAAAAAATGTTGTTCACTTGTGTCCAACTCTTTGTGACCCCATTTGGGGTTTTCTTGGCAAAGATATTGGAGTGCTTTTCCACTTCCTTCTCCAGCTCATTTTATAGATGAAGAAACTGAGGCAAATAGGGTTAAGTGACTTGCCCAGGGTCACCCAGTAAGTATCTGAGGCCAGATTTGAACCCAGGAAGAAGAATCTTCCTGACTGCAGGTTCTGCACTCTATCTACTGTGCCACCTAGCTGCCTTAGACAAAAAAAAAATTACCATGGCTTTACTTTGAATATATTCTGTATTGACTTTTGTGTGTGTATTCTGTTTTCCCTGATAGACTATAATAAGCATGTGTATGTAACATGCATAATATAATAAAATGTGAGTATCATGTATATATTACATAAATATAATATATGATACATAAAATAAAGTTTAGTTCAGTATGGTCCCAACTCTTATGGATCCTTAATGGTTAAATCCAGTGATACCAAATTCAGATAGAAATGGGGGACCATTAAACTGTCCATGAGGATCCCTGCAGGCTATGTATTGACTTAGAAAACCACATATTTACATTATTCTATTCTATTTTTATTTAGTTAAATATTTCCCAGTTACATTTTAATCTGGTTCCATCAGGCTATTCTATTCTACTCTATTCTAGTTGTTGTTGTTTAGTGATTCAGTCATATCTGACTCTTCATGAGCTCTTGGGTCATATTGTACATGGGGTTTTCTTGGCAGAGATACTAGAGTGGTGACTTGCCCAGGGTCACATAGGTAATAAGTGTTTGAGGCTAAATTGGAACTGAGGTCTTCCTGACTCCAGGCCCAGTGCTTTATCCATTGAGCCATCTAGCTGGCTATTCTAGTAGAGGATATCAATCAACAAGCATTTATATAGTCTAATCTGCCATGTGCCAGGCACTGTGCTAGATGTGTGGAGATACAAATACAAAGATTGTGATCATCTCACTCCTTTTTTTTTTATCATCTCACACTTGAGGAGCTTACATGTTAATGAAATGAGATATATCCTGATAATGTAGCATACTTAAATGCATCCCTGAGGTACACTTGCTGTGGTGAGATCAGATAGAGAAAAGTTCTTACCAATAGGTAAGGAATAGAGCTACGGAAGGCTTTATGGAGGAAGTGACATTTGATTTGGACTTAAAAGGACAGGTAGGAATCTGCCAATAATCTCTCAGTTGCCAAATCTGTTGGTATTTTCTCAGTCCTCTTCATTGACCTTTCTGTAGTGATATTTGACTGTTCACCACTCTGTCTCCTCTTGGATAACTTTAGTTTTTGTTACACTACTCTTTGCTAATTCTATCATCTGCCTGACTCGGCTAATTCTCGATCGGTTTTGCCTGATCATTTTCTAGCTGTATATCCTCTTCTTGGTCCTCTTCACTTGGTTATCATCTGTATGCAGGTAACTCTCAACTCTATATTTTTCAGTTCATTCCCTCCTGAGTTCCAGTCCTGCATCACAGCTGCCTGTTGGACATTTTGAAATGATGTCCCATGAGTATGTCAAACTCACCATGTCCAGAACAAGAATTTATGTTCTTTCTCCCCAACCCTACCCTTCTTCTGAGCTTCCATATTTCTTTTGGTGGCACTTCCATCCTTCCAGTTGCCCAGTTTTGCAACTTGAGCAGCTCCTCACTCTTCTTTACTACATGCATCCAAATGAGTGACCAAATCCTGTTGGTTCTCTCCACAGCATTACATCTGCTCCCTTTTCACTACTCACATGTCCATCTTAGTTCAAGCCCTTATCACTCTTGGCTAGGATAAATCATAAATATATCTGCTTGACTTTCAAAACCCTTTAGAGCCTTATTATTCAGTACTCCTCTTTCCATGATGATGTCATCTGTCCCCCCCAAAACTAGTCTTCCTGTTTTTCATCATGGCAATCCATGCCTTTTCGCTGGCTCTTTGCCAGGCCTGCAGTGCATGCCCTTCTTTTATCCACCTCTTGGATTTCCTTACTTCCTTCAAGACTCACCCAACCTCAAATACTGCCTACTTTCCTAATTTATAGGCTGCCCTGTACAAAACTGAATTTATTTTTTCTTTCTAAACTCAACTCTCTCTCCCCTACATATTTTAAAATTTATTATGTTTCCCTTCCTCTTACCCTCCCTTCCTGCGCACTGAGAAGGCAAACAATATGATATCCATTATACATGGGAAATAATATAAACCATAATTAGCCATATCGCAAAAAAAAAAAATTTAAGTGAGAAAATTATCCTTCATTGTGCTCCCAGAGTTCATCAGTTCTCTCTCTAGAGAATGATAGCATTTTTTCATCATGAATGCTTTGGAATTGTCTTGAATCATTGTATGATCAGATTAGTCATGTCTTTCCCAATTGATTGTTACAAAGTTGCTGTTACTGTGTACAGTGATCCCTTGGTCATTCTGCTTTGCATTAGTTCATATAAGTCTTGCTGTGTTTTTCTGAAACCACTTTTCTCCTTTCTTATATCACAATCTTGTATCACAACTTGTTCATCCATTTCCCCAATTGATGAGCATCCTCCCAATTTTCAGTTCTTTTCCACCACAAAAAAGAGCTGCTTTAAATATTTTTGTATAAATAGATCCTTTTCCTTTTTCTTTAATCTCTTTGGGGTACAAACCTAGTGGTGGTATTGCATGGTCAAAGGATATATGCACAGTTTTATAGCCCTTTGGGTGTAATTCCAGATTGTTTTCCACAATGGTTGGGCCAGTTCACTACTCTACCAGTAGTTCCTTAATGCACCCATTTTCACTCATCCCCTCTAGCATTTGTCATTTCTGATAGGTGTGAGGTGGTACCTCAGAGTTGTTTTAATTTGCAGCCCTCTAATTAGTAGTGATTTAGAGCATTTTTTCACTTAACTATAGATAGTTTTGATTTCTTCTGAAAAATGCCTGTTCACATCCTTTGACCATTTATCATTTGGGGAATAGCTGTTTCCCCCTTGCCTGGAATGCACTTCCCTCTTCATCTCTGTGTCATAGAATGCCTTTCTTCCTTCAAAAAGGAGCTTAAGCACAACTTTCTAAACTCTTTCTGGACACTTTATCAACTACTTTGTATTTATTCTGTATATATGTGCCCCTGGTCTATAAAATACACACATATTTTAGGCACTTAATAAATATTGAGACTGGTTGTTGCCACTGACAGAAATAGTGAAATTAGAATGAAGAACAGCCTTAGCAGAAAAGGTCATAGAATATAGAAACAGAAAGGATATTAGATTTCAACTAATCCATTTTTTTTTGTGAAAGCTAAGAATTAGAAAGAAAGTAAAAGTCTGTTGGTTGAGAAATGGCTAAACAAATTGTGGTATGTGAATGCAGTGGTCGAGGAAATTCATTAATTTAGTTCTAAAGCTATCCATCCTATCCTTTGTTTCTTCTGGAACTTTTACTGTAAGAGTGTGTGTGGTGAACACAGAGAAGCATAGAAAGATCTACATGAAGCGATGCAAAGTGAAGTAAGCAGAGCCAGGAAAACAATAAACACAATAATTATAACAATATAAATGGAAAGAACAATGACATGCCAAAAATCAAAAGTAAATATAACAAAAGTTATGAAGATCAAGTGAGACTCAAATGAAGAGATGTGATCTACCCTTCACTATTTATCATGTGGGATGGCTCTCTTGGAGGGGAAGGCATACATAGGATGCTGTGGTAACATAAGAAATGGAAAGTATCAATCAAAACTTATTCAAAAAAAGATTTCAACTAATCTTAACCCCCTCATTTTGTAGATGATGAAACAGAGTCTCAGGGTGGTTTTGACTCACTGTAGCCACTTCGGTTATAGTAAGTAGCAGAACTGGATTTCAAATCCAGGTCATCTGACTCCAAGTCTCATTCTTTTTCTACTGCATTGAGTGTTATCTTTGTAACATACTGGCTTAAGCGGCAAGTTGGACACCCAGTTGGAGATGAGGGTCTGGAGGCTAGAAGTAGGCATCAAGAGTGATAGAGATTTGGGAGTCATCTTTATAAAAATTATGGTTGGAATCGTATGTTGACTGAATGAGATTGCCAAGGGGGAGAGTATAGAAAAAAAGAGGAAAAGGTTAAGGACAGAACCTTGGTGTATACCACCTACATTACAGGGCTGAGCACTCAGTATAGGGCCTGATACATAGTAAGTGCTTAATATATGGTTGGCAGATGGGAAAGAGCCAGTGGAGTGAAAGATTAAAGGTGGATGAGAGAAGCAACCTTATGTAGTGCATATGTGGGACCAAGAGTCGAGAGACCTGGGTTCAGCTACTGCCTTGAATACCAACTCTAGGACTGTGTGTCTTAGTTTTCTCATTTGTAGACTTGGTTCTAGGGTCAAATAGAGGGGAGGGATAAATTACTTTAAAAATCTTAAAGTGCTGTATAAATATTATTACTTTACTCCTCTTTGAACATTGGACAAGTTACCTCTTCTGTTTTTCATCTGTAAAAGGAGAAGGGGTGAACTTGATGGCCTATTAGGTATTTTCCAGTTCTTAATCTAAAATTCTGTTATTTGCTTATGTATGTTGTCAGTGAACAAGTATTTATTAATTACTTTGTGCCAGGCACAGTACAAAGAAACACATTAACATGTTAGAAGTGGCAGTTATAGTAGTAATATAGGATGACTGTTATAAAAAAAAGATCCTAGAGGACCCTGGAGCAGATAGGCTTAAGTAAATGGGATTAGCTTTAGCAAGGAGTTGAGATACCTCTTTTTCTGTGTTCTGAGAGAAAAAGGGTGAAATGGTGATGAAGAGACTTTGTAGATTGGACAAGGCGTAGTTATTCATTACTGTGGGAAGAAGAAATGTGGAGTTGTGTATAAGTCATTTAGATATCAGTATATCAAAATTTTAATTTTTTTGTTATTTGGAACTTGACAAACCAGAAGACATGAATATTTCTATATACAAAGTATAGTTAATTCCAGAGCTGTCCTGTGTCTCTCCTAGAACTTTCTCTGTTCTTTTTTTGTGCATTTTAAAAAAGAAAAACTTGACTAATGTTCTTTAATTTGGGGTGGGAGGTGTACGAGCCCACCTTCCCCCGCCCTCCACTCCATTTCCCACCTTCCTTTGTAACAAAAAGCATAGTCAAACAAAACAAATTCACCATGTCTGATGGTGTCCGTGTCTGAAAATGTGTCATTCGTTACCTCTAGTCCATCATATTTCTTTCAAGAGGTGAGGATTATGTTCTATCAGTCTCATGGAATTATGGTTAATCATTGTATAGATCAAAGTTAAGTCTTTCTTTACAGTATTGTAGACATTGCATCAATTGTTTCCATGCTCATTTTACTCTGTCAGTTCATATAAGTATTCAAGTTTCTATGAAACTATCTCTTTCATAATTTTTATATTGCACATTCTCCAATTGATGGGCACTGTCTTCATTTCTGGTTTTTAGGTATGCCAAAAAGTGCTGCTATATCTATTTTTGTATAATTGGGTCTTTTCTCTTTAATCTCTTTGGGATATATGCCTAGTAGTGGATCAACAATAAGTATCATTTAGTGATGTGGATGAGTTTAGTTCCAAAATGCTTTTTAGATCACATAAATCAAGTCCTAGTTCTACCAGTAGTGCATTAGTTTGCCTGTCTTCTGACAGTTGCTCTAATAGTTGGTCATTTTGAGGGCCATCTTGCCAATCTGATGACGATGATTAAAAACTCGTAATACCAGGCATTTCTGTTAATAGTGATTTGGACCATATTTTCCTATGTTGTTGATAGGTTTCCTTCTGGATGTAGTAGTTTTTTTTTAAAAGTCTCCTTTTTATTCCTCCCTTGGGAATTTCAGTTTTCAGTCGTATCCAACTCTTCGTGATCGCATTTGGGGTTTTCTTGGCAAAGATACTGGAGTGGTTTGCCAATTCCTTCTCCAGCTCACTTTATGCATGAAGGAAACTGAAGCAAACAGGATTAAGTGACTTGCCTAGGGTCACACAGTTAGTAAGTGTCTGAAACCAGATTTGAATTCCAGAAGATCAGTCTTTCTTGACTCTAGTCCTGGCACTCTGTTCACTATGTCAACTAGCCACCTACCCTCTCTTGGGATCATCTGTTAAATTCTTCAGACTAAAATTTGCATTTACCTGTATTTTACTGTTTTCCTTTAAACTCCCATTTTAACATGGAAAATGAGGATCTTGTTTAAAGTTGTAGACATTTGGATTTCTTATTTATTTTGCTAGCTTCCTTATCATTTCCTTTTGTTGCAGGTAACCAGAGAAGAGAGACATATTGTTAAACCTCTCTATGATAGATACCGGCTTGTGAAACAGATGCTAACAAGGGCAAGCATCACTCCCATTCTTGTATGTACAACACGGATTTCTTAATGCACCCATTATTGCTGAGCACCATTAAAATGTTTGGTTTTTTTTAACTCCATAGTTTTATCTTTGGACATTGAGTTATAAAGATTTTGTTTTCCAGCATTTTAAAGATAAAAAAACTTGAATATGATGTCTTAAAAATGGGAATTTTTTTCTGTATCATACCAAAGTGTTACTAAATTTTGTCTTGCTGTAGTACTGAATATCCAGTGATTTAGTATCCAAAGCCATATGTGGTGTTTGTTTTAGGGATCCCCATCTACCAAGAGACGAGGTCAAATGTTACAGCCTATCATAGAAGGAGAAACGGCCCATTTTTTTGAAGAAATTAAGGTATTCCTTTAAAGACTGTTCCTTTATCTGTTGCTTACAAATCTGAAATTGATGGTCTGTTTGATTCATTGCCTTATATCTTATATCTGTTTAGGAAGAAGAAGAAGATGGTGTTAATTTGTCTTCCGAGTTAAATGATATCTTGAAAACTGCCACACAAACACAGACCTTTTCAAGCTCATTGGAAAATTCAGAATCTGATGTTGAAGAAAGTCAAGAAAAGCTGGCTCTGGACCTCCGTCTGTCAAGTACTCGAGCAGCTTCCATGTATGTATTCTGGCCTATTATTTCCATATGTTGTAGAACATAATAAAATATTAGGTTAAAGGATTGGCTCTTTAATTACATTGGGGGAACAGTCAGTCATGTGTATAGCACACAATATGTGTTGTTTCCCAAAGACAAAGTTTCTGAAATGTTATTCTTTACTACACAATTGAAGTCACAAGTCTGTACCAAAAAAAATTCTTTACCATTCCTCCAATATGGATGACATGCATACTACTTTAAAGGAACAGACAACCAAATTATATTTTTAAAACAGATATATACACAGACATATACGTATATATGCATATATAACTATATTATGCATATTATATATTAATATATAATATAGATATACATATGTACATATATACATATATGTAAGTAGATGCTTAATAAATGTTGATTGATAAATGTGTATATATACCTATATGGAAACACTTCATAAAGTTTAAAGTGCTGTGTACAAGAAAATGGTGCTTGAACTGGAACACACTGAATAACCTATTTTTTCATATGGAACAGATCTTCACTGGATAAATGTTTTTTCCCCTTATTTTACTATTAGGCCTGAATTACTAGAGCAACTTTGGAAAGCCAGAGCTGAAAAAAAGAAGCTACGCAAGACATTACGGGAATTTGAAGAAGCATTTTATCAACAAAATGGAAGGTTTGTTGTTGGCAAAATAACCATCAAAGCAGTGAGATAGTCCCTCCCCACTCTGTTATAACAAACTTTCAGGGTTACTGTTATATATGAAGTGATTTTCTTTTTTGTAATGAGAAATCAGTCTAATTCTTCAGGCAGGCTTGCTACATTTTAACTTATTACAGACTTTGAAATATAGTTTGAAAACCACTCTGACAGTTCCCCTCTTGCTCACACAAAATGAGGAAATATCAGAGGTACATAGTAGGTGCTGTTATATATGCAAGTGAACATCTGATAAAATATTCACAGGATAATGGAGAGGTGGATTTTTCCCCTTTAAAACAGCTTCATGGCTGGTGTAATTTATTCACCTGGGAGCAAAGAGAAGGAAAGAAGCCAAGGGACAAACTAAATGTGGTTCTCTCAGTTTGAGTGGATTCTTAATAGTGGCTAAAAGAGTCCTCTTTGGAGTAAGGAAGTCAGAGGACATGGGTTCAAATCCTGTTTCTGACACATAACTGTGTAACCATGGGCCAAGTCACTTCAGCCGTAAGTGCCCAAGGCAACTCTGAGACCGAGTCAACATTAGGAGAGGGAGTTTCCTATACCCTTGACATTACAGGTGGAGAGAGAGACAGACAGACAGACAGACAGACTGACTGCCCTTCTTCCTTTAGTTCAGAAAGTGCTTGGAAAGCATATTGAGTCAAGCTGGCTATGCCTGGTTGTATTACATTTATGTTATTGGCCTTTTGGAGTAAACCTTAGAGCCAAAACCCATCAGGTGTGGGATTTAAGAGATCTTAGGATCAAAGGATCATAAAATTGAGGGCCTCGGGAGGCCACTGAGTCCAACTCCCTTATTTTACAGATGAGGAAATTGAGGTTGAGTGAAGTGAAGTGACTTGCTCAGGGTCTCCCAGCTAAAGGAGTCAGGATTTGAATTCAGGTGTGCTCTAACTGATTGCTTAAGATTAAGAAAAACTTGCTTCTTCTTGGTTGGAAATTTTAGGTGATGAGTCTGAAATGACCTTTAAATGCATTGTTTCAGGCTCCAGAAAGAATTAGAAACTGGGATGTCTTGACAGCTAATGGCTTTTAAGAATAATAGCTTAGGGAATATTGCCTTTCAATTAAACCTCCCCATTCAGATGAAGAGGTCTTCTGTGGTGTAGTAGATTTTCAGAGCCTCTGGTAATGAATATTCTGTCACACATGAACAATTGTCATGCCCTGCATGCCAAAGAATTTCAGAGGATGTTTTCTCTCTACATTTTCCCCAGACCACCCAGAATCCTTTGGCAGGCCACAGGTTTTGCAAGCCTGCCTTAAACTGTCATGATTCCTAGAGTTATAGTGGTTATTTTGGGCCAAATATTGAAAGATGAAGTTGTAACTTAAGCTGTATTCGAAGCTTTTTTATTAGCTTGGATCCCCGTGTGGTGATGTTATAAATTCATTAAAATATCCCCTTGATATACATCCTGGGAATTGCTTTTTGATTGACATTGATGCAAGTGTAGCTCTCTTTATATTAATATTTATCTGCAAAAAGTTGGATTGAAATCACGATGCTTTACTTCTTAGGTTTGGGATTTATCTTTCTGATAGTCTTTCTCTGATGTCTGCTTTCATCTTGACTGTTCTCACACCCCCTAAACCTCTCTTTACTTGAACTTATATGTGATAACTGCAGTGTGTATCCTCTGCTAGAAAACTGATATTCCTTTTCTGGTCAGTGTGTTTATAGATTGGAAGGACTATGGTTGCTTTCTTGAATGTTTTACCTTTTTTTTTTTTTAAAGGAATGCTCAGAAAGAGGATCGGACTCCAATGCTGGAGGAGTACAGGGAGTATAAGAAAATAAAAGCCAAACTTAGGCTCCTTGAAGTTCTTATCAGCAAACAAGATTCTTCAAAATCCATATAAAAATGCTCCTTCAAAACGTCATAAAAACCAGTTATATTCCCTGAAGCTACCATCATGTGTACTGGCTGATGCTTGAGTTCCTTTTTTGTCATGTGCTTTTCAAAGAATTTCATGTGAACTTTATTGTGGTGCCACTACAAAAATATGATCGAAGGGCAAGTAGGCCCCTTTTAGGGAGCAAATAAAATGTTCCAAATTAACAGGAAACTAATTCTCTCTACCTTTACATGCAGTTTCCTTCAGTGTTTTGTATTACAGATACATCCTTTTCCCAAAAGACTATAGAATTTTATCTTTTCAACTTTAAAGAACTTCGGAAATTTACGAGCTTTTTGTTATTTCCAACTTCTTTTTGCATTACTGAAGAAAATTAAGATGTAGATCTTCACACCACACTGAACAACTCTAGTTGCCTTTTTCTTACAGAAAAATTGAGAGTAAAACATAAAAACGCATACATATGCAACTGTATTCTGTGTTTTCCTGGAAAACCAAATCAAACTGAATTCCTTTCTGAGTCCTGCTGTGGAACAGCTTTCTGTTTAAATCCCACAAAGACGTGTCACACAGGTAGTATGTTATCAATCCATGGATTTTTCTTTTTTATCCCCAAGTCAGTGGTCACAGCTCCTGGACGAAGAAAGCAGTGGACAGCCCAGAAAGTGACCTTCCTTAATGTAATTTTAAAAACACAGAAAACAACTTGGAAAACTGATTCATTATCACACGCTGCCTACAGGACTTGAGTTACTATTCGTTTTCTTGGTTATTGTTTAACAACTGGTGGTGACATGATTTGCCTTCCCCAATTGACAATGTGAGAACCTTATTACCCATGTCATCATGTGGGAAATCTGATGGTGCTTAGACTTGTATAGTGCCAGCAGATCTAAACTGGCCTAAATCAGTAAAAATGATTGTTATAGCTGAAATAAATCTGTTTAAACAAGGGCTAATATTACTGCATTTTACATGCATCTTGGGGTGGATTGGTGGGTTGTGTAAGTCTTAAAAATTACAAGAAAAAAGTCCTACAATAAGCCAACATCCTCTCTCCCCTCCACCCCTTCCAAAAATTACTTTGTTATCACATTGTATATGTGTGATGCAGCTAGGAAACAGAAAGCAGTGGTGTACCCTTGTAATGTAAGCAGATCTTTTTTTTTTTCTGTGCATGGTTCAGCTTTTAAAAAATGTCCTTTTGATGTCATTCTGGTGATCATTTTCACTATGTTGGATGCTTATTCACATGCTTGTGCTATATGATATGGCAGTCATTAAAAAGATTAAGGTCAGGCAAAACTTAAGTGTTAATTTTTAACTGGTGCTTTTCTGTATGGGTAAGTATATCAGTTTGACTAGTGCTACATTTTGCATGCAGTGACTTCACATGCATGTTTTCTGACAAGCTAATATTAACACACTTTGTTTCATGAAAGACCAAAAGATACTTTTTTTTAAGGGGGGGTGTAACATCATTACAAGCTGTGGGAAGCATGAACTTCGTAGATTCTGGGGGGACTTATATAAACACAGGGTTGAAAATAGGATTTATAGTACTTCAGAGGTCATCTGTGTGTGCAATACCTCTTTTTGTTTTTGGAACTGAATAGTGGGCATGTAGTTTGGGATTTTTAACAACAAAAAAAAGCACTAAAACTAGCCATGTTCTGATGGTTTCCCTTTATATAGCAAGGCTATTCATACAGTATCTAGAGAAATGACATTTAAAAACTAAAACCAGGACCATTTATCACTTTGATTTGGATCCATTGTGCAATGTACATTTCAGTTATTTTTTTTTCTATTAGTCTGCAGACACGGGTGTATCCAAACATTGAAACTAATGTGTACTGTATATTGTTGTACAGGAATGTTTGTTTTCTATGCCACATGCAAAATGTCAATATGCACTATTTAAATGTTTTAAATAATATATTCCTCCTTTATAATGCTTAAAACTATATGATTCCAATATTTTTATAAGTGAGTGATCTGCCTGGTTTCATTTTAGAATTAATAGCTGCTTTGTTTGTTGTACAGAGTGTGTCTGGCTGTTCAGTTTAGTAGATAAGCATGGCAACAGTTATGCTCTTAAGTGTTGTGTGCCATCTTTGTTGGGCAGTACGTAGTAGAATTAGGCATTTTGTGAAAAACTATATATCTATATACCAACAACATATAGATATATTGATATATTTATATGTCCACTAGATATAATTACATTGCTATATCTGGCACTTCACTGTATAGATTTTTGTAATAAAAAATACCTTAATCTTTATTGTCCCAAGTCATTGTAATGGCTTCCTATTTTTCCAACAGGTACTTAAAAAATTGGCAGCCTTTGGAATTCCTTTGGCATGTAATGTCCTCAGACATGAAGCTCTGGCTCAGTTTATTTTTGGTTGAAGAAGCCAGACCTACAGCCAATAGCACAGGATTGTTGCCTTAAGCAATATGGGGATTGATGGCAACAGGTGTGGAAAGAAAAAATTCCACTCTGTGGATTTCTTAGAAGAAGGTATGCAGCCTTCTTTTAACTGTTAGAATTTAGAAACAGAATTTGATTTGAAAGATCAAAAGAACTCTCCTTAATCAGCCAAGGAAAGGTTTGATGGTAGTTGTAAAATTGACCTTCATTGGAGATTTTGGACTAGTGCTGTTTAACAGCTATAAAAATAACTTGAACGTAGTGACTAGTCTTAGTATGTGAAAACTCAGAAGTTAGATTTATGCCTTTGGGGAAAAAAAAGTAACTGCAGTGTAGTCAGGTTCTGGTAGTTCCTGGTGATTGTTTTGGGAGAGTCTAGGTTTGTCACAAAATTCTGGGGTGGGAGTGGAAGTTTTCTTATGACTTCAGATGTACCATACTGCTATTGTGCATCTAGTAAAGTTATGATTGCTCACCATGGGGTACAGAACTGCTCAGTCTCAAGGTGACCCATGTCCTGAGACTCTTACTGCCATTACCCACAAAATTAGTGTATGTTTAACTTTGGAAGAAGCTTACCAAACAAGTATCAGACAAATCAAAAGCTTTGAGAAGTAGTCTTTTATAAACTGGCCAAATGAGTTTCTACATTTGGGAGAATTTTAACACTAATTTTTCCCAAATTAATTAGGCCGTAGGATCCTGGGAGCAGGGGCGGAGATGGGGCGGGGGGAGGGAAGATTGCGGAATATATTGTCAGGACTGAAAGAATACTGATAGATTGGAGATGGGGGAATATATGGACTACCCAACAAACTAGGTGTGGGGGTGGGAAGCAGAACGATTTTGGAGTAGTCAAACCTACTTTTCAAACATTGTCACACACAGGTGTCTTTTATTACAATTTATTACAATTTAATATTTTTTGGAGAAATAGTATTGAAGTGTTCTCAGACTATTCACACTGCCATGTAGGACATGCTGCTTAACACTTGTGTTTGCCGAGATTCATCAAACTGTAAAATATGGCTGAGACGCTTGTATATGAATATCTGGTTGCTTTCTAGAGTCCTGAGCATTAAGAAGTAAATATATGAGATCAGTGGCTTAAGACATATTGATACATGATATAACTGAAAGAGAATTGAATTTGGCTCTTTCTGGCCTTATTTATTCAGCTGTTCCTTCCTGTCTCATCAACTGGACTCCTGAGTACTCTTTATAACCCTCCTTTTTCACAATCCCTTTAAAGATAATAAAATACTTTGTTCATAATGTAGAACAGCAATCACATTTGATCCTATTAGATAGATGTTGGTATCCCCTTCTTACCCATGAGGAAACTTGAGTCTGGGAGACTTTGACTTGCCCGGAGTCATAGAGCTTGTACATGAAGCAGGATTCAACCCAAGCTCTTCCTAGGAGCTCTGTAACCTTGCCATAACATTACTTGCCCCTAAAATTTGGCAAATGGCATTCCCACCCAGGAGAGTTCCTGAAGGATGTGATCATAGAACAAGGACTTCAGAAACAGCCAGACTATTAGATATTAATTAGATTATTAGATAACATTAAATATTAATAGAATTCTTTAAACTGTTTAGATCGAAGGGGATTAAAGGTGGGAATGCAGTAAAAAGGATAAAGTAGTGTAGAAGAAAGCTGATGTAATGGCATAGTATGATCTCACCTTTGCTTGCACATCTGTCATGTTTTTGTAGCAGAAATCCTTTTCATTACTCTGTTTAATTTTGTGCTGACATGGTGCAATTCCTTCTCTAGCTCTACTGCAAATAAAAAGAGTCTAAAATAGAATTTTAAAGAGAGTATGCAGTGAGGTGACTTGAATCATTACTATTAAAAAACCCATACCTGACAGAGAATCTCTTTGAATACTGTCCCCCTAATTAGCCTTCACAGTTTTGAAGCTATACCACCCAAAGCTTAAGCAGGACAGCTGAGTTCCAGAAGTTCCTAAATTATTACCCAAAGCATTTTGAGAGCCGGAAGGAACCTTAAGAGATCATCTAAGTCCAATCATTAACATATGAACAGGCCAAGAGAAATGAAAGAGCACTCTGTTAAAAGAACCACACTGTAGCGCTAGTCAGGGCAAAGCTAGGACGAGGAAATAGGGTTTCCTAATGCCTCAGCCCATATCACCATAATGACACCTGTTGAGATGATTACAATAATAAAGGATTAGGGGTTTGATCCTAAGCTTTCATTGTGGGTTAGTCTATAGAAGGATCTATATTTTCTCTCTTCAATAAAAATAATTGAATGGCCAAGTCCTGTGGAAGATAACTGGTGGAGAATAGAGTATAGAGTGTAAAATGTGTGAATGGCATCTTTAGGGACTTCCAGTTAAAAATATGGTCTAGCCAAATCTTAGCTGCTTTGGTAATTTTTGCTTTAGCTAATTATAAAATGAGGTTAGAGACTGTGGTAAAAATGTATCAAAAGAATTAAGATTCCATTAAAATTTAATTCTTGGTTTAAGAAGAGAAAAAACTATTTAGGGGTCCCTACCTTCTCATTGTCAAAATATCTTCATGCCACAATGTACTAATAAATCTGTTGGTTTTCTGAAATTCTATAAAATACAAGAGCTCACTTACTCTCGAAATTCTTGTTGTGTGACAGGCCGATAAGCATCTGGAGTTTCTGAAGAATAATATTTTTGCTCAAGCCTCTCTTTCCACTTTTTCATCTGGCTTGCACTTTCAATTTCCTTGTCAAGTTAAAGAAGAAAAGCATATGTGCTGAAACTTTTATACATAAAACCAGCCTTTTCATATGTGTGGCATGAATGTAAGTTTGAGGGGTAATTCTGCTTAAAAGGCATCTAGAAAGCAAATTTAAAAACAGGATATAGACATTGATAAATGCAGTAATTTTTGTTTTTTAACACTAGCTCCAAAACTTTTCAAGCAGAATTTTTTTTTCTACTCAATTATATTACAACTACCATAGATTGTTTATGAAAAATGAATCCTACTTTTTCATCAAAGTCTCTTCTGGGCTGGAAAGCTGTGTCTTTCTCTTTTCTATTAATACAAAATGGAGAAATACAAGGTCAAGTAATGCCAAATCACATAACCACTTAGAAACGTAGAGTGATGATCTCACTGCTAGTAAGAAATTGTTTTAGTGAGAATAAAATATTCACTTGTCCTAAGCTGTATAAATATATTCTTTAGCGAATGAGGCATAGAATGTTTTGTAGGGTAATAGCATTTCAGATATCATTATAGGTAATTTAGTACATAATGCATGATGCCAGAGGCCTTGAGCTATGGAGGCTGGTGGGGAGGGGAAGCATTTTTGTATGTGCAAATGGATAGGTTGCTATAATAAAGCATCGAGAGTTGGAAAACAATTTGTTGTTTTTACAGTGTTGTGTTCCACTTCTACCGATCTCTTGTCGCCAGTCCCCAAGTGTTTTCATGAAAGCTTTTCAGTTAAATATTTAGAAATGTAAGGGACTTGTACACTTTGGTACGTATATTAAGTGCTTATGTACAAGGCACTGTGCTGCTTACTGGGGATAAAAAAAAAAAAGGAACAATTCCCTACCTTCAAGAAGCTTATATTCCAGTGGGGGAAGTTATAGCTCAATATCTATATCTTTTGTGTGTGTGTGTGTATATTACATGTATAACACGTATTGTGTATATGTGTGTAAATTAAATTTGAAGAATTTGTGGACACTTCTTGAAGTAGATACCTGGGACCTATAATTTGGAATCCTTGATCCTAACCTTTTAGGTCATTTATTCTAGCAGTCAAAAGCTTATCCTTGTTATATACCACTTAATAGATGGGGCAGACAGTTGGCATAGTGGATAGAGAGGATCATGCTTGTAGTCAGGAGGACCAGAATTCAAATCTGTCCTCAGACACTTAGTAGATGTGTGACCCTGGACAAGTAACTTAACCCTGCTGCCTCAGTTTTCTCATCTGTAAAATGAGCTGGGGAAGGAAATGGCAAACCATTCCTGCATCTTTGCCAAGAAAACCCCAAATGGAGTCACAAAGAGTCACATGACTAACTGACTAAACAGTAACACTTAAAAGTTAAACATTAAAGTAACCTCTAAAAGATGAAGAACAATATGAAGAGTCTTACGCTTTTTGGCCTTCTGTTTGAGGTTTCTTTAGTTTTAATTTCTCCATGGTCTTGGTATATCTCTGAATATAAGAGAATTTAATGTTTTAAAAACTAAACAAACCTAACAGGAGTAAATAGAAATACAGAAATGCTTTACTGTTAAGGCTTCTGATGGGGTTTGGGAAAATGTAGAGCCATTTACCATTGCCTGCCCTTATCTTTTATCTAGTAATCTTCCCTATCTTCTGTTTTTTTGTCTCTCACTATGGTAATGAAATACCAAGGAGAGTGGTGG